ATTTTAACAGATGAATAACCAAACATAGATTCTAGAATCTACGGGTTGCAACATCTTCGATTTAACATCATATAAAATATATCAAACTAATTAAAGTAATGCTACATTTCATATATTTTCTTTAACGATTTTTTAATTTAATGTCTTGTATTTTATCATAGTTGTTTTCATAGATATTTAGTACAATTCTTAACACCACTTTCTTTGACATACAACCACTATATTTACTAGAACTTTACAATGTCATGTACCTGCAAGGAACATCATGAATAAATATAGCCATTAGTTTTAAGTAATATACAACTGTGTTTTCTTTCTCTGTACATGCCTGGCGCCCAATATCTATATTTTTTGTTTATTGTTATTGATTAGTTTTCTTTCTAGTGAAATACCTTATTCACGACTGCTCTCCGATGAAAAGCTGCCGTTCGCAGTGGTAATGTTTTATAAAAAACGCTACACCTTATTTGGCGCCCAACGTGGGACCTCGAGAAAATAAAAACAGCCCTTAATTCGACACTCTATATTATTCAGTCTGTTTTGTATTTTTTACTCGTAACATTTCACTGGAGTCTGACAATTTTTCTTATTAATTTTATTACATTAATTTTTGTAGTTTAATTTTTTTTGGCATGATACAGAGGAGGAAACAGTTGCAGTTTTCTTAGTACGATTTAATTGCAAATACTCATAAATCCGTTTACGCCTATGACGCCTCGATTATTTACACATAAAACTTTCTGCCTGCGAAGCATTTTTCCGAGACGTTCGTTTTAAAGCAGCGTATCTCCAATACAAACAGAGATAATGTCGTGATTAAAAAACCAAAATGCTCACTAAAGATGAGGCTACAATGTGATTTGATTTAGCAATAGCTACTACAGCTGCTGCACCCTACAGGGTGTTAGAAAGTTCGGGCAAAAAACTTCGTCTTATTATTGTTGCGCCCTGTATATGCTCAAAATAAATTCGGAATAAAAATTTCTGACGTAGCATCCGTTAAGAAGGAATTAATTTACAATTAAAAAAATCATCAAAATTTAATGAGTGGTTCGCCAGAAATCCAACTTTGAAATTGGGACTAGTTTTTAGTGGCCAGTTTTTTTTTGCCGGTGAGTTTAGTTTTATCTAGTATGCTTTCATTTCTATAAACGACATTCATTAATTACTTGATATGACGAACAATTAAAAATATGTATTTTGCGATATATTTTTAAAAATAATATAAAGTCTCACTCCTTATACTAATTTAAAATATAGTTACAATATATTTTTTTTTCATTTAACGTATCACGTGAGTATAGTTACAATATCAAAAACTTCTAGGATTCCATTTTGATTTTAAAACGTTATTGTACACATAATATTTATTTAAAATGTTGCAGTTAGTCCTCCGTCTGTAAAAGTCACTGAAAATTGATACAGAAAATTCTTAATACTAAGGGCTGGCAAAGGTTAATTTTTGGGTCGAGATTTCCGTATGTAAGAAGAGTACAATGCCTTTCTAATGTACTGAACAAAGAGAGAACACTAAAAATGTTGCCAAACGTATGAAATAAATCGAGAATCTGTGCACATTGCTAAGAAACGTGGAAGGGGATACAGCAGATTCGTCGTGGGTAGTGGTCGACCGGTCGACCCAATCACATAGACAAAGAAATAATAAGTAAATAATTATTTCTTTGTCTATGCCCAATCAGTACTTAAAATTCTAGTGAAGGGTGTATATCAAGCGTTCAACTTTATGATTTAATAACGTCTCGTGATACTTTATTTGTTTATTTATTAACAAGTAGTAATTTTCACTATAGCTTGTAAATTTTTAAGTGCAAGTTAGAAAAACTTGCACTTTTGATAAAAGCAAGTGGAATTGAGTTGGTGTTCGACAGTGGTCGCGCTATTAGGACTCTGAATTCAAAAATCGATATCTCGTAATCCATTAGAAATAATTGATTGTAGTTTTTTTTTTCAAAAACTTTCTTAATATTTCTGCTATATTTTCTTCGCAGACAGTATGTGAAAATCTTTACAAATAAAAAAGTTACACGATTGCTGAAAATTGCTATGCACTGAAAATAAATGGACGGTTTTTTTTAATCTTTGAATAAAAAAAATACATGTAAGTATAGACCCAAAAGTAAGAGTTGCCAGCACGGTATGGTTTCAGGATTACCCCAAAATAGGTTACCCCAAACTCTCTGGTCATATGATATAAATAAAATAAAAATAAAAAAATCAGACTCAGTGTCTTTTGCTTGCAGAGGGACACTGTATATCAAACTTAACATAAATTGTGCTTAGACAAATTTTAAACAGTAGTTTTATAAAATTTGTAAGATTTGGATTTGTCCAGTACTAAGGTACATTATTACAATGGACTTAAATAAATAATAGTAAATCTATACAAAAATTAAAGATTATACAGGGTGTTTCAAAAACATGTGCCATCTCTCATTGGAAGATTCCTCGCGTAAAAATAAGATTTATTTTTCATGTCAACATGTGTCCGATGCTGCTTTGTTTCGTAGCTACCGGGGTTAAAATATTTCATTAACTTTTACCCCCAAAATAGTAACTTTTACCCTCAAAATTTCATTCGAACCGCTAAAAGCACTTAGAAGAAAATTATAACAAATCGAAAAAAGATAAAGACTAACACCCTGTAGTCACGTAACAAAGCAGAATCGGACCTATATTTATATATTAAAAATAAATGTTATTTTTATGAGATGAATCTCCACACGGGAGATGGCACATGTTTATTGAAACACCCTGTATATTTGATACCAGGTTAACAGACATATACCACTCTTGGAAACATACCTATTTAATAAACCTTAATTAACAGACTAGTAAGTATACCTAAAATACGAGTATTAAATTTTTTACAGGATCTTATCCTTATCTGCTACGATTCTGATAATATATTCTAGAATAGTTTATTTCTACGACATAGAATAGAGCCTCATGAACTAGTGCTAAAACATTATTATTATTATTTATTATTATTATGTTTATCACATTTCCAAATTGAAGAGAGAACAACCGCTTCAAAAATGCTTTTACAACCTGAAGTTGACCAAAAATATATTCCTCTTATTGTCAACAACTTTCGTCTACGTACATTGGATAACATCATACCTTTAAAATATAGTATTTTTTCTACAATTATTATTATTCCAAACTACTTTAGAATATTTTAATTGCAGCAAAACAAAACACTAATTCGCAATAATATACCAAAACACTTTACTTTTAACATTGGACGCGTGTTTCGTTAACCATGTTAGCATCATCAGCAGATGATTAAAATTGGGTTTTAATATTTTAATCATGTGTACCTGCTGCTGATGCTAACATGGATAGCGAAACGTGTGTCCAGTATTAAAAGCAAAATGTTTTGGTTTATTGTGGCGAATTAGTGTTTTGTTTTGCTGTTGTGATACCGAAGGTTCCAACAACCAACTGTAATATCTTAAATACAGTTTTATTAATTGCCTTTCATTTGTTTTTATCATATAAAAAATATAAAATGTGTAGAGTAGTTAAATATTTTCAGCGCGAGTTTATTTCAGTACCATTTTTGAAAATAATACTACTGAAATATAACTTTACTTGTTGTTTAATGACACTATGTTGAGAATGTTGTATCTATTATAGTCTAAGACCTAGCAACGTTTTCGAGAAATATTTTAAGATGTCCTGGCTCTTTGATATATCTTTTACTATGCTCTCTAGAACAGCATACGGCCCGTCTGGCTGCCGATACCCGTTGCGTTCACTACTGCGCATCGGAAGAAGATCCTATATTTTTTATTAATTTAGTCCTATAAATTCTAGTATTGAATATAAATTGAACATGTCTCCCTAGCGCAGTGCGTAGAGTTTCCGACCACGAACCGATGATTCAGAGTTGGAATCCGGGTCAGGGCAAAAACTTTTTTATTTTATTTTCGTTTATATTCTGATAGTAAAGTATTAAATAATTCTGGTGATTAAAAAAACAAATATTTAATACTGCATTTTTAAAAAACTAACTTTAAAACACTCTGTGCAATAATTTCGTGGGTAAATATAATTTCACGGCCAGAACCATGACTCGTGAGTATTTTATTTTGGATTCATGTCAATACATGCGTTGGTTAATTTTTAAGAGCGAAACGAAATGATCACGATCAATTTGCAATTTTTTTAATTATCATTACTTTTTGATGTAATTTTTTAATATGACGATATGATTTTGGTGTCTATTGTCGTAACACCATATTACTGTGCATTAGATACTTTATACTAAATTAAAAAAAGTTAAAGACTAACGATACAGTCCTTGTTTTAATAAACATTAATGACGATATCAGAACTAACGATATTAAAGAAAACATCTGTAATACTCTACTAATAATAATATTTTGAATTGCCTCCATTGACTGCTGTAACTGCCTATATACATCCGTTATACTGTAATTGAGGCTGCATACATACATATATCATATTACGTTATGCTTTCCCATTCTTTTTTAAGAACCAAGAGAAGTTCATTTAATGAAGATGGTACCGTTTCGCGACCTCTAACCCTCCTGCGAAGTATTTCCCCAACGTCGAACATGATGGGCAATTCATAGTAGTATATAGTTCACAATAATCACAAGCCGCCTTGTCATATTGAAAAATAACTTCAAAAAGAAATGATATTTGAAAAAATTGCAAATTGTTGGTGGAAAGTTAATTTCGCTCTTAAAAATTAATCAAGGCATGTCTTGGCATAATTCAACAAACAAAATGCTCAGGAGACATAGTTCTGACCGTAAATTTGCATTTTACGAAAATTTACACACAAAATTATTGCACAGGGTGTTTTAAAGTAAGAGTAAAAAAGCAACCCCTCGATTAACCCTCTATAATACACCAAATACTAAAGTTTATAAAAAACTGAGTTTATGAATTAAATTTTGAAATAATTACACAGCTTGCTAAAAAATTCATGAAAATAGGGCTAAAAATAACAAAAATAAAACACTTTAAATTTGATCCAAAATTTCTCCGTTGCGTTTTTTTTGCATCTGAGTATATTTTGTTTTGAAGATTTTCTCACAGTACAAATGGCGAAATACCCATAGAACTTTTTTAAAGAGATGAATACACCACAGAGGTGTAGATATTTTTTAAAAAGTTTTCTGGATCAAGCTCCATTATTAAAACTGTTAATGAACAGTTTTCATAATTTTACCCATACTGAGATTATTGTATAGAAAAAAACAAATGAAGGCAATATTAGTCAATTAACTTAATAAACACTTTTCTACTTATCATCATACGGTGTCTTAACAAAATAAGTTGTCAAAGTGCCCTTTCCCTTGACATAAGTAGGTCCTCGACACTCGCAGGAGTATCCGGCATTTTCGAGGATTTCCGCCGTGTCCTGCGTCACCTGGATCCTGCCCATTATCCCACAGGAATCCATGCGGGACGCCACGTTGACCGTGTTACCCCAAATGTCGTATTGGGGTTTCTGGGCTCCTACAACTCCAGCTATTACAGGACCATGATGCAAACCTGGACACAGAAAACGGATAGAAATAATAAATATATGGATTAGGTGAAATTTTAGATAGTGAGTTGAGTCATGGTAATGAAAGTGTGACAAAACAAAAGATATGGAATAAGTGTGTATATTCGATAATCAGCCGTGTCCCCGCCAAGTCAAGCACAGCCGTACCATCCTTTTCTCGAAGGTATTAGCTGCACTTTTGAGCACCCTGTAACTTCGTTGTGGATAAAGCAAGAATACTATATAAAAATTATTTTTTATTTTCACTATACTTGAAGACATACCATAGCTGGCTAGGTTACCAAAATATCTAGCAATTATACCTCATAGTTTATGAATTATCGCTTGTCAAATTTCTTTAATTGTATATGTAATGAACAAAATTCTTACAGCTTTAGTGTATATTAATAAATAATATTTTCTTGCCTTTAGCTGTGTATTTTTTCTAATTTCGAAAAATCGAAAGTAGAGAAAAAAAAGTAAAAAGAAAATTGTTTTGCTTGACGTAAAGGGGGGAATCAAGCTCCACTCCCACAACCGGTTTCTGGGCCTACCCTTCATCAGGTGGGCTGTCCAGGGGCTGGTTCTCACCGATACGGCAAGCAAAACTTTTTCAGGATCAACAGACGATGTCGTAAAGTGTCGGTGAGATATTAGTGCATCTCCCGTCAAAAGATGGTAAAGAGCGTTTTTCGGCCCGCTCAAATATATATGTAATGAACAAAATTCTTACAGCTTTAGTGTATGTTAATAAATAATATTTTCTTGCCTTTAGCTGTGTATTTTTTCTAATTTCGAAAAATCGAAAGTAGAGAAAAAATTAAAAAAAAAATAAAAAGTAAAAAGAAAATTGTTTTGCTTGTCGTAAAGGGGGGAACCAAGCTCCACTCCCACAACCGGTTTCTGGGCCTACCCTTCATCAGGTGGGCTGTCCAGGGGCTGGTTCTCACCGATACGGCAAGCAAAACTTCTTCTATATCAACAGACGATGTCGTAAAGTGTCGGTGAGATATTAGTGCATCTCCCGTCAAAAGATGGTAAAGAGCGTTTTTCGGCCCGCTCAAATATATTGAAATGAACAAAATTCTTACAGCTTTAGTGTATATTAATAAATACTATTTTCTTGCCTTTAGCTGTGTATTTTTTCTAATTTCGAAAAATCGAAAGTAGAGAAAAAATTTAAAAAAAAAAAAAGTAAAAAGAAAATTGTTTTGCTTGTCGTAAAGGGGGGAACCAAGCTCCACTCCCACAACCGGTTTCTGGGCCTACTCTTCATCAGGTGGGCTGTCCAGGGGCTGGTTCTCACCGATACGGCAAGCAAAACTTTTTCAATATCAACAGACGATGTCGTAAAGTGTCGGTGAGATATTAGTGCATCTCCCGTCAAAAGATGGTATAGAGCGTTTTTCGGCCCGCTCAAATATATATATATCATTTAAAAAGTGGTAGCATCTTTGTTATTTTAAATAGAACATTCAGTATATTAAAAATTCAATAAAACCGGAGAATCTACAGACCAAAGTAAAAGATTTATCATAAATAAATATCAATTCGTGCTTACCAACTCGTAGTTTGAATCTTTGGAAAGCGTCCCTGTTGATTTGATCTAGACTGGTCATCAGACACATTGCGAAGTCCACAAGAGCCACGATTATGTGTTCCGCTTTTCGATTGGCTTCCTAATACAAATAAGGATTTCATTATGACATTAACTAAAATATTGTTAACTAGTTTGAATATCATAAAATTTAGAGGAGTATCAGTGTTGCTGAATTAGTGAAAGCTATCTATCTATTTTCATTTTTTTATGTAATTTGTTAAGCTAGTTTTAGTTTGGATTCTACCCAGCAAGATTTTGTTAAAATCAAGTATTTATAGATATCTCTCTTAGTGGCGAAATAACTAGACTTTTTTAAGGAATGAATTGGCCACAAATGTAGACATTATTTAATAAAACTTAATATAAGACCCAAAAAATATAACACTATGTTTATTTTTATAAATATAAAAATACAAATAAAGACAAAAATAAAATAAATATTTTATAATAAAGTATCCAAACTAGAGCGATTCAAAAAAATAAAAAATAAAAATTTGTTCTTGCAAACAGGCTCAAAAGTTTCAATTTGACCTAAAAATACCAGTTAAAATGTGAGCCCTTAATATTAATATTAAGAGTGCCACGTTTTTCTATTTTCCATAAGAATACCATGGAAAAATTTTGTTCTGCACCTCATGAATTTTATTGCTAGCCGGTCGTGTGTCATAAAAAAGATTTTACATATTTTTTTATTATAAATATATTTTTATAAAAAAGAAGAAAAAGATTAAACGGCTCAGCCCTCAACAACTCGCAACCGTATACACCAGTGTACACCAGTGGTTGCTGAGGGCTGAGCCGTTTAATCTTTTTCTTCTTTTTTATACATTTCCCTCACTATTCCTTTCTTGTTCATATTGGTACCACGGCTAAGGGTATTGCGGCGGGTTGCTGTTGGCTACCACCGCGGCTGTTCTGGACGAAGCCCACAATCCTGGGCGACTCTGGTTCTTGGCTGTAAATTGGGGCTTTAAGGCTGATTCATGGTACACCGTGACGGGCCGGGGCCGTGCGACGGTGAAGGGACGGCCAAACATTGTCAAATGGTATTTATACCTATGCATTCATGCTAAGCCGAGCACGGGCCGAGCTTCTACTACCGTGTCTACTTTACGGAACGTGCCCGGCTTGGGTACGGCCCGGTGTACCATGAATCAGCCTTTAGGCTCCCGTTTGCTCCTTTTTATTTTCCATCATTTATTTTCGTTTCTTCATCATTTTTTTTTCCATCTCATGGGTTGCACACGGTGCCTCGTTGCATCGTTTGCTTCCTGGTTTATTGTGTTTTGGGATCGGTTTCATCGCTTCCTGGTTCCTTACCGTACTGATGAAGCCTGAAGGCAGTAACATCAGTGTACACTAGTGTAGGTGTGTGGTTGTGTGAGTGTGTGAGTGTGCGTGTCTGCACTGGTGTACACTGGTGTATACGGTTGCGAGTTGTTGAGGGCTGAGCCGTTTAATCTTTTTCTTCTTTTTTATACATTTCCCTCACTATTTCTTTCTTGTTTTTATTTTTATAGATATAGATAGAGAAACCATAATTTTTGTAGAGAATTGGACATTCTACAAAAAAGGTCTCTTATGATTTTTCGAGAAACCTAATAGTTCAAGAGTTATTTGAGGCCAAAGTTCAAGTTATCGCAAATTTTAAGGTTTTTGATGCATTACAGTAAATTTGATGGTTTTATTGGAACAAATTACCCAAAAAATGTTTACCTTAAATTTAGTTTTTTAGACAATAATTGTTAATAATTTTTTACAATAATGAGACCAGTGAAACTCTTTCAGATTATTTTTAGCACAAATTGGCTTAAAAATCATAGTTTATCTCGTTTTTGTTTAATCTAAAGACAAAACATGTTCTTCAGCCATTTGAAATAGTTACATTAGAAATACATTAACTGAAGATGGGTTTTGTTTAAATAAAAAAATATTTACTTTTTCTATAAGTAGTTTTAAAATTACTTAGTCAAATTTAATCTAAATCAATATTATTATTGAAGATTTTTTTTAAACAGTCTGGAAAACGTTGCCGATGTTCTCGAACTACTTGTAACAAATACTGTAGTTGCTATTTATCTTTAGTGAGGTAATTGTTTTATCGATTAACGCAAATCCTCTTTCAGCTGCATCATTCGTTACTTTTAATGTTTTCAAAAACACTTTAATGTTTCTCCAAAAAAATCCTTTATGAGTATTTGGCCACTGCACTGCAAGAAAATCTACAAAATAAAATAGTTATTTTTTGCAGAGATAACTTTCCGAAACCTTAAGCATTTTTTTCTTTATTAGGCAAATTTGTATTACTGTAAACATAACTTCTGAGAAGCAGCGTCAGTTTAGGTTTAACGCAGAAGTGTTTACAAAAAATAACTATTTTATTTTGTAGATTTTCTTGCAGTGCAGTGGCCAAATACCCATAAAGGATTTTTTTGGAGAGATGAGTCCGCCACATAGGTACAGACATTTTATACTTTAATGTTATCAGCACATTCAAAGTAACTATCATTAGACCAAGTTGAAATCTTCTAAAAAATCGCTCTGTAAATCAAATTTTTTAAATAATTCCAATGATCTTTTTGATACAAAATCACTTAAATATTTTTGTAAAAATAATTCGTGCTCATTATCGAGTACAATTTTCTCAATCATTTTTCTTTTTATACAGGGTGAGTTTCCTACGATGTTCTCCATGGGTATCTCGGAAACTACTGGAGATAGAGAGTCGGTTAAATGGGGAAAGAATTGCAGTTTTGTGGATCCATAAATATGCGCCTTTCAGATTTTTGAAAAAGTTCATGGCTTACTAGATATTTCGAAAAAATCAAATTTTGGCTATTTTAAAAATTGTCTCTAATTCCAATATAATCTATTTTAGACAAAAAGTTTTCAGATAAAAGTTGTAGATAATCACATCTCTAATGAGTTTATGTTATCCGATTTTTTCTAAAGCCTGTCATTTTTGACATATGAAACAAACATGTTTTTTTTAAATGGAAACCATAGTTGGCCATGACGCCCTTTTAAGCTTTTCAGCTATAGGAGCTATAATATTTTTTTTTCACAAAATTACTGAGTTATAGCCAATTCTTATCTTTCTTGAATAATTTCACCTAGTTAGCCATGGAAACAAGTATAATCGTTGTCAAAAAATTACTGAGTTATAGCCAATTATTATCTTTCTTGACTAGTTTCATTTAGTTGGGACGGTGTTCTTATTTTGTTATGATTTATAACGTATAAAAAGACAAAACAGACCTTTCGACTTAATTAAACTTCTCCTGTACCGCCTCTTCGAGTGCCTCTCTTAATTCCTCTTAAGTGCCTCTCTTAAGTTCTTTTGCAAACCTTGTTGTTAACCATGCCGCATAAAAAAATCTAAAATTGATATGTCAGGTGATCGAGGAGGCCCATGCAATTTGTTCACCTCTTTCTATCCCTGGTTCTACATAATTATGATATAAATAATTTTTAACATTTCTTTCATTGTGGCCCCCCCACAATGAAAGAAATGTTAAAAATGAGGGGGGGTGTCATAATGAAAGTCTATGTTGGAACCACTCTAAACATGACATGTTAGAAAAGACATGTTTAGAGAACGGTTTTCATACATGCTTTTCTTCATTTGAAAAATTCATATTTACCATTTTTGTTTATTTTAATTTACAAAGTCTGAATGTGACAGTTTCACATTTCTGAGAGCAACGACGATTGAACATGTTTCCATGGCTGACTAAGTGAAATTAGTCAAGAAAGAAATTGGTTATAACTGAACTTGGCTATAAGCATTATAGTTTATATTGCTGAAAAGCTTAAAAAATGGCGCTTTTTATGAATCCATGACCAACTATTGTTTCCATTTAAAAAAACATATGTTTGTGTCATATGTCAAAAATGACAGCCTTTAGAAAAAATCGGAGAACACAAACTCATTAGGGATGTGATTATCTACAACTTTTATCTGAAAACTTTTTGTCTAAAATAGATTATAATGGAATTAGGGACAATTTTTAAAATAGCCAAAATTTGTTTTTTTCGAAATATGTAGTAAGCCATAAACTTTTTCAAAAATCTGAAAGGCGCATATTTATGAGCCCACAAAACTGCAATTCTTTCCCTATTTAACCAACTCGCTATCTCCAGTAGTTTCCGAGATACCCATAGAGAACATCGTAGGAAACTCACCCTGTATATACGGAAACATTAGAATCAAGTAAAGAGATACCTAACAGCTAATTCCTCATTTAAGTACCATAAGTGGTCACTCATATAGTTACAATAACTTTTAAAACATTTACAGACTATTGGGTGAACAGAAAAACAATTTAACTTGATTTTTATTTTCATAAAAATTTTTTATAATAAATCTTCGAACTATTCGATTTTTCTTTGGACTACTACCGACAATTATTAACAATTATTGTCTAAGAAACTAAATTTAAGATAAACATGATTTTTTTGGGTGATTTGTTCCAATAAAACCATCAAATTTGCTGTAATGCATCAAAAACTTTAAATTTTGCAATGGATTGAACTTTGGCCTCAAATAATTCTTAAACTATTAGGTTTCTCGAAAAATCATAAGAGATGTATCTTTTCATGTCAAATTGAAACTTTTCAGCCTGTTTGCAAGGTGCTGTTGATATTGGGTAGCGTCCTAACATGTATTATTGTGTTCTTTTAAACTATAAGAGAAACATGGTGATTTAGAAAAATCCCACTTTCGATAAATAACTATCATCATGAATGACACTTAATATTTTACCAAACAGCCCAATAATTATGTGAATAAAATTTAACTAATATAGTTTGCTATGCGAGAGGACAATGACAGTCTGTCTGTCACTGGAATATACATGTAAATTGTATTATCTGTCATTTTTTGGATGTCATCTGTCGAAATCTTCGCTGATTGTTGGACAGATTTTAGTTTATACGCAGAGACGGACCTTGCAGGTGCGTGAGACAGATTAGGGTATTGTTTAACATTGAAAACATAAAAATTACTAATACAAAAATACATCAAATTTGGGTTCTCTTTATTTGTTGCTTTTCGCATTACACATTACACACACACAAGCTTTTCATAGATAAGATAATTTAATATCAGTTTATTAATTAAATATTTTAGTTAACATACATTTTTAAAAGTGAAATATCTTCTATTACACACACCGGAAAAATCTAGGGATATCATTTTATTAAAGTTAAAAATAGATGTTTTGAATAAACAACCACATATTTGTAGGCCGATTCTTTCTACTTCGATTGAAATGAAGTAGTCACACGTTATTTCTAAATTTGGGATATTTGCAGAAGTGTTTGTGCATTTTTTGTCAAATGTATAAAAAGCACCTAGCATCAATTGTTCCAATTTAACCTGTACTGGCTATGTTTTTATCATAACTGGCCAGAATTCATTCAAATAACTCTGTTTAGTATTAAACGACATTATGGAGCGTAGATATCTTAACACAGACGAAATGCTAAGGGCCATGGGTATGCTCGAAGCTGGAATGCGCCAAAACGACGTAGCTAGAGCATGAAATACAAAGCAAAGTGTAATATCGCGATTAAGTGCACGCTACTGTGAAAGTGGTGATGTTGCTTAAAGGCACAGAGGGCGACATCGCATTACTACCCCTCAGCAGGATCATTTTTTACAATTAAATGCTCGACGCCGACCGACTCTTACAGCACCAGAGCTTAGTTTAATTCTCCAGGAAACACATAATGTACCCGTTAATCCTGACACTGTTCGCAATAGATTAAGCGAGGTCAACTTAAGAAGCAGACGCCCCTGGAGAGCTCAACCCTTAACGAGAGGAAATCGAGAGGTACGATATTTGTGGGCTCAAGATCATGTTCAGTGGTCGAATGAACAATTGGCCAATGTTCTCTTCACGGATGAGTCACGCTTTGGAATTCATCCGGATTCGAGAAGGCTTAGGGTATGGAGAGAACCGGGAAATCTTATTCGGTTGGATCATGTTCAGGAAGTGCACCCTTATCAAGGTGGAACAGTTATGGTCTGGGAAGGAGTCCAGTTAGGCCGAAAAACCGATCTCGTTTTTCTTGAAAGGTTTCTAACAGGAATCACATATCGTGATTTAATTCTTGAGCCTATCGTGTTACCATATGCCAATGATTTTGGGAGAAACTTCATTCTCATGCATGACAATGCACGGCCTCATACAGCCAGAGTGGTAAGTGAGTTTATCAATGCTCATCAATTAAACATCTTACCCTGGCCGGCACAATCTCCTGACCTCAACCCCATCGAGCACGTATGGGTCGCGGTCCAAAGAAGAATTTTGAGAATGGGTATGCCTCGTGAAACTCGTAGGGATCTGGTTCGGACCGTGAATGCAGCGTGGCAGACTGTACCTCAAGAAGAGATCGAAAACCTGATCAGGAGCATGGAGAGACGATGTAGGGCTGTAATGAACAGTAGAGGAGGGTATACCCTTTATTAAGTAAAAATGGTTTTATCTTTTTTTTTAATTCACAGTTTAGAATAAAAAAAAATGTGTGTATTTTTTTGAATTCAATAAAAATCAAGGTAAATTTGAAAAATTCGGTAAATTTCGCATTTTTATTTCCAATACGTCCTGTAAACTATTTGTTTATTTTAATTTTATTATATCAGAAATGCAAATAATAAAATTACTGACGATGGATGGATAAAATTTTAATATCCCTAGACTTTTCCGGTGTGTGTAGTTCGGAAAATTTGCCCAAAACAAAACAAGAGCAAACGAGAAATTTATCTCTGTGACCTAATGGATTTTACAACAGATATTTTTATTTTTCAGTGCTTTTTATGATAATATTCTTAGAAAATTGCCATACTCAAATAAAAAGTCAATTATACTTCAAAAAAATATCATGCCTACATAAAAATTAGTATGGACTCTTTTGTCAACAAAAAATGGGTGTCTTGGTCTTAAGAGTCAATAAAGAAAGGTATTTTTGTTTACCGTAAATTTTTTAAACATGTGAAGTTAACAATTCTTTTATTAATTTTTTCTTTGTGCACCATAAATATATTTATGCTTATGTAGATATATAAATAAGGTTGCTCCAAGTAACTGCTTATTTAGGGTCCGGCAATAGTGCGTCGGGCATCTGTAGCTTCTAAAATAAAAAATAACTTAGCAATTTTGTAGCAATTTTGTTTAAGTGCAAACCTAAAGTATGTATTTCAGAAAAATAATTTAACCACTACAGAGTGACTCGAAAAAGTGTGAGTGGATCAGGATGATTTTTTACATGGAACACCCTGTATATTATTACATTTTTGGCTTCCTTTCTTATCACTTTACATAATCTTAAGATATTTTTAAATAAGTTTTGATAGTTTCAGAGATATTAATAAATAAATAAAAAAAAATTTCAGCCTTTTTTAAAAAAAATATTGAAAATACAAGAACTGTCCTGAAATCAAAAGTATATTAGTTGTTTATTTTAGAAGAAACATTTTTTTTTTTAATATTCTGTTGTTACACTGCAATAATACTTGTTATTTTGGATGTAGGAAAATGATTTTTAATGTTTTTAAGCAAAGACTGGTTTAATAAATAATAATAACAGTAATAATTTGTTATACCTATTAACGACAAAATTTAAAATCATTTAATATAAACATTTTTTTAAGTAGTCGCAAAATATAAACAACAAATTAGATGTCAAAATTATTTATATTAGATCCTATTTAAAAATAATATAGACTCTAAATTTTTTGGCAACGGTTGTTTTTTAAATAATAATTACAGAACTAATTTGTTATATTAGCAACAAATTTTAAAATTATGAAATATCAACATTTATTAATTTTCTAAGCATGCAGTGTAATGGAAGGAAAATATAAATAACAAATTAGAAATCAAAATTATTTATATGCTTTATATTACTATTTAAAAATAATATTATTTACTTTTACTGGCATTTACTTTAAAAAATAAATTAAATATTTCTTCGCAAAAAACTACATGTAAGAGAATTAGCATAAACAAAATACACACATCGTTAACTTTTTTTTAAAATTGGCACGTGTAAAACTTTCAATATAATTTTCTCACCCCATAGTTTGAGTTCGATAACCATTTACTTAACCACATTACTTAAATATGATTATTAAGTTCAACTAATTCATATTATTAAAACATCTAAAATACAAATAATATCTATTTTTAAAATTAATTGTAAGTTCATCTCATCTCTCTTAAAAATTGCTACTTCTCAAAATTTTCCATTAAAAAATAGACCATATACCATATAAAATTAAATAATTGAAAGATCGGGCTACGGAAAATCACAAAATTTTTCGGAAAAATGTTGACCACCTGCACACGCACACAATCGTCAATTAAAAAAAACTACTATTTTAGTATTTTAAATATTTTAATAAACGCAAAAATAGCACAGTATTTATACGGCGAATTTATAAAAAATTGGAAGAACTAATAATGCACTGACGCACACAAAAATCAAACGGATACTAAATTTCATATATCAAAAGCATTCGATAGTCGTGGCTCAACGATAATCATTTAGTGGTACAGCGAGGTTGTTACGTATGCTTTAGTATACAAATGAATGAATGATTTTATTCGAATAAAACCATTCGATAGTCGAAATCATTCATTCGGTAACCATTCGATAGTCTAATTCATTCGATAGTTCCCATCGCTAGTTTGGACAGCCTGTATTTTTAATAATTATTTTAAGAAAAGCTGAAAAATATATTTTTTTATTTATTTATTTATTAATATATCTGACTATCGAAATATATCGTAAAACGATCTGAAGGAAATCCAAAAATGCAATAATATACAGAATGTTCCATTAAAAAAAATCATCCTAATCCACTCACACTTTTTTGAGCCACCCTGTAAAAGTTAAAATATTTTCCTGAAATACATCCTAGTACATACTTATAGGGGTTAGCATTTAAACAAAATTTCCAAGTTTTTTTTATTCTAAGAGCTACAGACTACAGATGCCCCATACAATATTGCCGGACCCTGTATATAAATAAATTTGTTATATAGGTACACAAAATAAACCTCGGTAAGTATATAAAAAGCTACTTTATAAGCTAATTAATTACCTTGATAATATCCTGCGACGAGCGTGGGTAAGGAAACGACAAAAAATACCACAAAGGATTAACAAGCACAGAAAGTAACAGAAAAGTACGTTAATTAAAATTACTTACGTTGCTATCTCCTTCTTTTCCAGGTCTCAATCCAGACGCCAACATGTAAGTGCTTCCTATAGTCTTGATTTTTTCTATACAGCTGAACTTCGGCTTTAGAAGTAACTGAAACGTACACAAAAAAAAAAGTTACTCTTCATACTATTCAGTTCTCAATGCATTTGATTTAAAAAGTTTGGAGATCTCTAAGAAAATAAGAAACATGTTTTTTATTCGAAAGAATTGAGCAGGAAGCTAAAGGAACAGCTATTGTTTGGTGGCGCTCTTACAAAGTTTGGATCTTTTGATAAAAACGTTGGACATTTCAGGATGCCTTTTTATTTCGAAGTAATGAGTTTAAGTAATATGGTCGAGCAGTATCCTCTAATTAAATTTTATTAAATTAAATATGTAGGGAGTACTAAAAGTATTTGGGCTTCGAAAAGTTTATATTTGGACGCGAGTAAAGTTTTTGTCTAAATAAAGTATACCACTGAAAATAACAAATAAGTCGAAGTATTAATTAAGAAAGTTGTGGTATATGATATTGAATCTTAATATTCAATATTCGGTGTAATAAAAAAGATATGCGAACTCTTGAAAAACAACCAGAAAAACAATAACAGTCTTTAAAAAAATATATCAAACATTTTTTTTTCAATATTCTAATACCGGAGATATATTCGAATTTTTCATAATCGATTAATTATACATATCGAGTAATCATATCAAGTATGCTATATTTTTGGAAAGGTAATTTTAAATTCTTTTCAACGAATTAAAAATATACAGGATGTCTCATAAAAAAATCAAATTTTCTGTTTATAATTCTTAAATTTAAAAAAGATATATTTAAACCATTAAATTCTAAATCAGTAAAGTAAAATCTGTAAAGAAATAAAAATAATTTAAAACAATTTTTTAATAATCCGTGAACCTTCAATACATTGGCATTTTACAACAAGTTGTTATAATTTTTATTTTGTAGTAAACATGTTTCTAAAAATACTATAGTTGGAATTTTATAAAAAAAAAACAAATAGTAAAGGTGTCTCATAGTTTACTATATTATGTTTATGGATAAAGATATATGTACTGTTATTAATTACATATAAAAATTGTGTCCGTAACGGTTTTTATTGCAATTTTTATTATTATACATTTACCTTAAGTTTATTTTTTATTAGAAAAATTTATTAAAAATAATTAATATGAATTAACTAGCATTATTTTTATGGCAAAAAGTAAGATAATAAAAAGTATCTTGATCACGTTTAGAAAATATTTTGTAGAAATATTTAGAAAATAAATTGTCATTTTTCATTCGCTTTGATAACTCTTACATCAAGAAAATATAAACGTAGGTTAATATGTTCATAGGTTCATTCATTCTTATAATTGCATATAATAGCGAAATTCGCAACGAATTCTAGGGATATTTGTGTTTTTAAACACATGTTGAAAATGTTACTTGAATGAAGATTCTTATTTCAATATTCATTCAATTACTTGAATGAATATTATTTTTGTGCAGTGATAGCATATACATATGTTTATTTTTATAAGTATATTTTTGTGTAATGGATAAAGCTGTATACAGAGTGAGTTTCCTACAATGTTCTCTATGAGTATCTCGGAAACTACTGGAGATTGAGAGTCGTTTAAATGGGGAAAGAATTGCAGTTTTGTGGGGTCATAAATATGTGTGGGGCCTTTCAGATTTTTGAAAAAGTTCATGGCTTACTAGATATTTCGAAAAAAACAAATTTTGGCCATTTTAAAAATTGTCCCTAATTCCTTTATAATCTATTTTAGACAAAAAGTTTTCAGATAAAAGTTGTAGATAATCACATTTCTAATGAGTTTGTGTTCTCCGTTTTTTTTTTAAAGCCTGTCATTTTTGACATTCTGACACAAATATTTTTTTTAAATGGCAACAAAAGTTGGCCATGGCTTTGTATAAAGCGTCATTTTTAAAGCTTTCCACCGATATAAGCTATATATTTTTTTCCAAAAATTACTGAGTTATAGCCAATTCTTATCTTTTTTGACTAATTTCACCTAGTTGGTATGGTATTCTTCAGTTACCAGTTATCAGTTACCGATATAAGCTATATATTTTTTTCCAAAAATTACTGAGTTATAGCCAATTCTTATCTTTTTTGACTAATTTCACCTAGTTGGTATGATATTCTTCAGTTATGATTTATAACTTATAAAAATACACAATACGTTTAAACAAATTGTAGCGTTTTTTATAAACATTACCACTGCGAACGGCAGCTTTTCATCGGAAAGCAGTCGTGGATAAGGTATTTCACTGGAAAGAAAACTAATTAATAACAATAAACAAAAAAAAAAATAGATATTGGGCGCCAGGCATGTACAGAGAAAGAAAACACAGTTGTATATTACTTAAAACTAATGACTATATTTATTCATGATGAATTCTGATGGTAAATAGCATTATACAATTTTAATAATTATTATAGTGGTTAAATACTATTACAAGGCCTAATGTAATGAAATCTAAGATCTAAATCATATTGTAACTACTAAATCGACATAAATGTTCTTAATAATATAACCACTACATATAGTCTGTACGATATTATTTAAAATGTACGTTATTAAGTTAAGACTGAAAATTGACTGAAAATCTGAACCTAAATCTACACTTAGCTGTTCTTGAGGCAATCCTGTTTCGAAGAGTAGCAGCGTGAGGTGGGCTCATATCTCTGTACTGTCTGTCGGCGATCCTGTTGGCCAAAACAACAAAAGGGCCAGGATGAGGACACCATGAATCAATACAGCCGTAGCTACTGACTAGGCTTAGAAATGGGAGCGAAGCAGCATGAGGCTTACACTGTATCCATACTGTGGCAATATGGGGACACTACCCGTACTTTGGAACACTACTAGGACCTTGGATAATGTCCGTAACTTGGACCGTAACCTTGGACCATAACCTTGGACACAGTCCGTCCATAAGAAAATGTACGTCCATAAGATAATGTACGTCCATAAAATAACGGTACAGGGGAACACTACCCGTACCTTGGATACTACTAGGACCTTGGATAATGCCCGTGCCTTGTAAATAGTCCGTCCATAAGACCCTAAAAATACGAAACTCTTGTTTAAAACCAAACAAGGTCTAATAAACAAAATAAACCTACCTAGAAACACTTCCGAGGGCTCAATAATAAACAAAAGAACTGTCCTTTCTTCCATTTAACATTCTGGAGGACAACAGCAAAAGTACATCAACGTGTCAGCAAAATACAAATACGAGTTAAGGTGGGTCAATCCAAAACTGGGGTGCAAGGGGTATTGAAGCGATACATATAGCCTAGCTTACCCAAAAGTCAACCTCACCTTCACGTGGTGCACCCTGTTTACACAAACGAGGCTCTGACGTCCGAGTATAGGCGGTATAACCTTATACAACCCTCAGACCTACCATCTTCTGGGGAAAAGGAGTAATAAAATACACCTAGCCGCCGAGAACGTAGCACATCAAGGGAACTATCGTCGCGGTCCTCAGTGTGCCATAGCCATCCCGTGCTACAGTTGCAGCCAAAACTGTGCGGCAGCGTAACCGCCACAGTTAAACCTTTTCACGCAGCTTACACACAGCAATGATGTAACATTCGAGTGGGACAAAATTATCGTCCGGAGGTAAAATACCCCCTCAATCGGATCTCCGGGAGGGGGTGCCTACTCGAGCGTATCATCGGAGAAACAAAAAACATGAATGTTTCACGTTTGCGGCGTGGAACGTCCGCACTCTACTGGACAAGATAAATTCAAATCGACCAGAGAGAAGAACAGCACTGGTCTCACAGGAACTCCACCGATTAAATATAGATGTTGCCGCTCTAAGCGAAACCCGCTTTGCGGATGAAGATAGTCTCACTGAGGACCATTACACCTTCTTTTGGAAAGGTCACCCCGCAACACACAGAAGAATTCATTGCGTAGGCATTGCGATCAAAAACGAAATCGCCACCAAGTTAACAGAAGTACCTATTGGTGTCTACGAACGTCTTATGACCCTAAGGTACCCCATATCAGACAAAACTTACGTCAACATCATTAGTGTCTACGCTCCCACCCTTGACTGTAAAATTGAGGATAAGGATAAATTTTACCAAGCTTTACAAAACGCACTCTAACGAATTCCAAAGCACGAACGGATCATCTTGCTAGGTGACTTTAATGCCCGTGTTGGCAAACAACAGGAAATATGGCCTGACGTATTGGGAAAACATAGAATAGGAAACCTAAATAGCAATGGTGAACGCTTATTAACAACATGCGCAGAGTATAATCTTTGCATAACCAATACGTGGTTCATGTTGAAGGACAAGTTCAAAGGTACCTGGAAACATCCTAGATCAGGCCACTGGCATCAAGTAGACCACATAATCGTTCGAAGGACGCATCTAAAAGATGTTATGCTCACAAAAGCCAGAATAGATGCCGAATGCGGCACTGACCACCGACTTTTAATTTTAAAAATGAAAATCCAGTTAAAACCCAAACATCCACACTGTAAAATGCAAAACAACATGACCAGATTGAACATGCGGGGTCTAGAGAACAACAATACGCCCTCCGGGAAGCCATCAAAGAATCACTTCCACCGACAACTTCAATCTCAATCTTGGAAGCTGAACAAGGCTGGACACAATTAAGGGGTACGATTCATAAAACCAGCGAAGCAGTACTGGAAAAGTCGAACAAAAAGAAACAACCAGACTGGTTTAACAAAAATCAACCGCATATACAGGTTTTGTTGGAACAAAAGCATAGAGCACATCAAGCAGTCACTGCAAATCCACATAATCCGAGACTGGTAGACTTTGGTTTTACTTGCGCCAAGTAAAGGATAACTGGTGGTCAGAAAAAGTGAATCAGATTCAAGAGTACGCCACGCATCACGATTATCGTAAATTCTTTGAGGCTGTAAAAGAAGTATACGGTCCAACCAAGAAGGTAAGCTGCCCAATCATGGCACAAAATGACGAACTTCTAAAAGAGGAAGAACAAACCCGAAATCGCTGGAAAGAACATTACAGCCATATCCTTAACCAAGAAAACAACCCCAATATGGAAGCATTAAACACAATATCTCAGTATAACAGCCTCGATGTATTAGACATCCCAATAACAGAACAGGAAATAAAGATCTCCATAAAACAGCAACAAATCAGCTGGCTGTGACGCGATTCCGGCGGAAATCTATAAGTGTGCAAGTAAAGAAATTATGGATCATCTTAAGGCTCTCTTTGATGTCGTATGGGAAAGCGGAGAGGTACCTCACGATTTTCGCAACGCGAATATAGTGAATATATTTAAGAACAAAGGAAGTGCATCAGACTGCGGTAATTACCGGGGAATTTTGCTATTAGCTATCGGCGGAAAAATTCTTGCAAAAATAATGTCAAACCGCCTGCACCCATATATAGAAAAAAAATCCTCCCAGGATCGCAAACGGGTTTTCGTACCAACCGCGGCACCGTCGATTCCATATTTTCCATCCGTCAACTACAGGAAAAAGTAAAAAAGCAGCAGTCTAAACTTTATGTTGCATTCATCGATCTAACAAAAGCCTTCGATCTGTGAACAGAGATGCACTTTTTAGGCAATTATGGAAAAGTTCGGTGTACCCAACAAATTTCTTCTTACAGTGTGTGTAAAAGCCTCCATAACAACAACAAGTCAAGAGTGTCACATCATGGATCACTGAGCGACCCATTCTAACAAATACAGGAGTTAGCAGGGATGTGTCTTAGCAATCCAAACTCTACTATAAAAAATATTCAATAATAATATCGAATCTATAAAGATAATAACTCATCTTTACCTGTAGCTTCGAAATGGCAGCTGATTCAGATTTTTGCAGCAAGATTTATTGCCATTTCTAAAAGCAGGATTTGCAACAATGGCCAAAAACAAAGTGAGGTTAGGAACGCAGAGAGGCGCCTTGACATATAACAAGGATCTTGACAGCGCGCCTCCACAGAACAGTGAAACGATAGCAGGGTTGGCGACAGGGAACGTAAAAATTACGCCAAGCGTGCCAAATAAATTATCAGGCCTGAACGATACGGAATCCGGTGATGATAGGCCAGACATCGTATATATATATATATATATATATATATATATATATATATATATATATATATATATATATATATATATATGAGTTATATATATATATATATATATATATATATATAAACGTTACAAAATTAAAACCTAAAAAACTAATATTTACATGCATTAATACTACATACACTTTAATACTACATACACTTTTTTGCTATTTTAGCAAATGTTCCAAAAAATCCTCCATTGTTTTGAGTACATAAAATGCATCTTTTTAAAACTTAATTACCTACAAGCTTTTCTTACAGAACGGCCGGTCGACTTTATTTAACTTCTCCAGTAACGCCCCTCAAGTGTCTCTCTGGATTCATAAGTTCTCTTGTAAACCTTGTTGTTAATCACACCGCATAAAAAACGGATAGGTCAGGTGATCGAGGAGGCCCATGCAATTGGTCCACCTCTTCCTATCCCTGAGTTTGCATAATTATGTTATAAATACTTTTTAACATTTCGGTCATTATGAGGGGGAGTGTCATAATGAAAGTCATGTTGGAACTACCCTATGACTTTAAATTTAACTCTTCTAACTTGTCTTGAAAATTGTTCTCTAAAAAGCGTAAGCAAAGTTCACCGGTCAATGTATCCTCAAAAATGTATGGCGAAGAAAAGTTGAACCAATAATAAAAACGACGATTGAACGTTTCCATGGCTAACTAAGTAAAATTGTTTAAAAAGATAAGAACTAGCTATAACAATTATAGCTTATATCGCTGAAAAGCTTAAAAAACGGCGCTTTTTATGAAGTCATAGCCAAATATGGTTTCCATTTAAAAAATATATGTTTGTGTCATACGTCAAAAATGACAGGCTAAGAAACAAACAGAGAACACATTCTCACGAAGGATGTGATTTTCTACAACTTTTATCTGAAAAGTTTTTTTCTAAAATAGATTATAATGGAATTAGGGAGCATTTTTAAAACAGCCAAAATTTGTTTTTTTTTCGAAATATCTAGTAAGCCATATTTTTTTTTCAAAATTCCGAAAGGCTAATTAAGGGCGACGATAATATGTATGTTTTCACAAAACTGCAATTCTTTCCCCATTTAACATTTAACCTCCAGGCTCCTCGGCTCCAGTAGTTTCCGAGATACCCATAGAGAACATCGTAAACCCTGTATATATTCGATTTTTTCATGATCGATTAATTTTTACAATATTGAATGTCATAACTAAATATCTGTCCTACAGCTCATCACTTTATAACCTACCTACTACGAGTATAGCAATGATAAGCCTAAAAACGTATTTCAGCAAAAAGAGTTTCTCAAAAATACAAATTTGTTACGTTCTGGAGGCAGATGTTAAACAATGATAAAAGTCACTTTTTATATAGGATGAAGTCCCTCGATAGAACTTCTTCTCTCCCTCTCTCTCTCTCTCTTTATTTACAGTATTTACAACATATTCAAAAATAATTGTGTAAAAGAAATACAAAATATAATGTATCCGTGAACCATTCAATACATTGGCATTTTACAACAAGTTATTATAATTTTTAATTTGTAGTAAACATTTTTCTAAAAATACTACAGTTGGAATTTGAAAAAAATTTAGAAAAAGTGTATCCTATCTTACTATATTATGTTTATTTATAAAGATTACTGTTATTAATTAAATATAAAAATTGTGTCTGAAACGGTTTTTTCTTGCAATTTTGTTTTATACATTTACCTTTTTAAAGTTTATTTTATATTAGAAACATTGAACAATTTTTTAGATTTTTTTTTAGTTTTTAGTTAAAAAAACATAATTTCATGATAATATGGCAACATAGGGGGAGTAGATTAAATAGAGGCAAGAAAATCCAGACAAGATCCAGTGGTTCTGAAAATTTAAGCAAAAAATATTTTTTTTTGAAATTTTCAAAGTAAAATAACTCGGTTATTTTGGACTAATTCGAAAAACGGCAAGGAAAAAATATGTTTCTTTTACGGAGATCTACAAGCCCTGAAAATATTTGCACTTATTTAAGACTCACCCTGTATAATAGTCAGAATAGCCAACAATTAGTCATTTTAGATAGCTTTGTATTTTCTGCCATTTACATACTCGTTAGAGAAGCTTTAAACTAGGTGAATTTGGTCTGAATAAAATCAAGCGCTTTATAAGATACCGTATCAATAATGGCCCTAAACCTTTGTTTTAACAAATTCGGTTTATATTTCTAAAGATCATATTTTGGTGCTGCTTTTAGTTCTAAAAATTTACTTACCTTATCAAATTCACAAATAATTTCATTAAGTAGTCTCAAACACTCCAGACCTTGCTTATTTACATCACTTTCGTCATAGAACTCTTTATAGTTCGGTATAGAGGCGAACATAACAGCTACGCAAGAATATCTTTCATGGTACAGTTCTGTAGTGACCCGAGTAGATAGAAAATGGTCTGCTACATGAGCCGGTAGAATGTTTTCTAGTAGAATCTGAAAACAAAAAATACAGTAACGACTCTGTAAGTGAATTAGGTGAAAAACTTCCTATTATATTTTAAATATAATTTACAATGTGTATAATATTTTTTTCGTATATGGAGAAAAAGTTCAGTTTTTTTAGAAATTCGTATTGTTGGGAAAAGGTAACAAACTGCAATCAAACTATAGCTGTTCAATGGGAGGATATCCAACAGCGACAGTTCTGTCACTTGTTTGATGTCGTCTGTCGAAATCTTCTGGAACTCGTTGGACATACTTTAATCCAAATTATACTTCGTATGGTATGTTGTCTTGTCTACAGGAGAACTTTAAGAATGTGGAATTTGCTCACATAAACAAAGTAGTTTAATTTTCCAAAATACTATCAACATTTTTTTGAAAAAAGTTCTTGGCTAAGACGAGCAGATGTCACATTTAAAGTCTAAGAGCGTATTCCGTTGCTTACGTTGGTTATAGTTTTATGTTCCGTTTCTGTCGGTTTCCTGAAAGTTTCTTATTACGGATCACGGTTCCTGAAAAATTCGGTTATAACTGTCACCAAACTAACCAGCGCGAGAAGGCTGTTTTTCTGGTTTTGTTTGTCAATCAATGTCATTTATGTGACAGAAATCAAACAAATATTGGAAGTTCGAGTGAAATTCTCATTTAGTTTCTAAAATTTGTAATAATATTTTGTACTTACATCCAAAAGCAATGGAGGTAGGCAGTAAAGGTAAATAAATTTCATTAACTAAATAGAATGACTTTTTACGACCGTTTGAACTTATCATTCAGCCATTGTTTCTTAAAGTCAGGAACATTTAAAGAAAACATGAAAAACAAGACAACAAATAACCGTGAATGTTTTGTAAGCTATAAAAATATAAATATTGATTAGATTTGTTTATTTATTATTGATCTGTTTTAATATTGGACCTGTAAATCTTCAACTTGGGCTGTCTAACGAGCTTAACAGTTTATTAATAAAGTACTTTTCAATATTAAACTCAGTTGAAAAAAAGAAGCAAACGTAAAAGCAGAGAATAGGTACATTAAAAATGCATAAAAGATAAATTTTATAATAGAGGTATTGAAATTTAGAAAACGTCAACATTTGACGTTTCCAATATTTTACCAAACCGTTTCGTATCAAACCGATGTTTTTTAGGAACCGCTCTTTATCGTAGTTTACCGGTCTGGTTTTGCAACGGAATACAGCCTGAGCCACCAGCAGGGCCGGACTTTACGAAGTTGCCGCCCAAGGCCAAAAAAAAATTGCCGCCCCTTAATTTTTTTTTAATTAAAAAAATTACGGATATAAAAAACATTTATTTGAATACAGGACCAACAACAGAATAGACCGACAGAACAGATCAACACAGAACATAAAATAAATATTAAAATATTCATATAAAATGACAACAAACGAACAACAAAACTATAAGGTTTGCTTATATGCCTATAAAGGTTTCCTACGTACTTTTTTGTTCGCAAAATTATCAATTACTTCATCGTAATTGATAGTTTTTAAAAGGTCGGACTCAATATGTAAAACTGCCAAATGATTTAGACGTTCTGTTTCTTGTGCACCGTAAATAAGTTTTAATACGTTTCAATGCAGAAAACGAGCGTTCAGCAGAACAGTTAGTAATAAAAGTACATGTGAAGATTCTTAATGCTATGAAAGTATTTGGAAACAGGTCTTGAGCGTTTTTTTCATAAATTGCTTTAAGAAGCTCTCTAACAGATGGTTTTGCTGACTTAATGCATTTTATAAATTCACTAAAATGTATTAATTCATTAGGCATTGACTCATCTAAATCATTTGGATAACAGGCTATTAAATGTCTGGACTTATCGGTAATGTCGTCAATACTTAAAGTAGATAAATCATTAAAGAAACCAAATGTGGTTGAAAAGTCATTGTAGGCACTTTTCGTATAGGAAATTTCAAGGATTAATTTATCAATAATAACATTAAATACATTTATCATTTATCCTAATATCGTCCCTAGCGTTAAATAGAGTTTCATTATCATTGGTTTCATCAAATTGTTGTTTCCGTTTCACTTTTCTCTTTTTATCTGCCGCATATTTTTTCTCACCGAACAATTCTATGGCCCTTCTTCCATATTCCTCAAATGATTTAGTATTATCTAGATTTCTAATTTCAGAAAAATATTTTTCCAATGAGCTATATAAAGCTTGATTTTCATGCATCCGTTGTCCGACGATACGTTGATACGATATTAATTTCATTGGTTGTATTTAAAGGCTTCCATTGGTTAACCGTTTCTAACCAACCGAAGTCTTTAAATTCAATCAATAAAATTAATATCGTATCATCGTATCGTCGGACAACGGATGCATGAAAATCAAGCTTAAATCTGCAGCAAGTTGTAGATCAATATCCACCATTTGAAGCTTTTTATTGACCGCATCTAATCTATTTAAAACGTCTATCCAAAATACCGCCACAAAACCCATTTCTAGGCTTTTGAATTGTTTAAGGAGACTAGAAGCATCTAATTGGGTTTTAGGCTTTTCGGTATCGTCTTCAGAAATTGACTCCAACGTTTTTATTTCATTGGAAGACAAAGATAGTGATTGGCAAGCGTCATTTCGTGCAGACCAACGTGTTTTTGATAAATTTTTTAATGTTTTTGAATTTATTTTTTTATATTCGAGGTATTTATGTATTTATTAATTGGATGCATGGCACAATGCAGTAAAAAATAACCTAAGCGAATTATATATTTAAACAATAATAATAGTTAAGTAAATGAATATGTAATCGGCTAAGGCTATATTCGAAATATTTTATGAACAAATAAAAGTTAAAAAAAAAGATAAATATTTTGGTATGCTCAAAATTTGCCGCCCCTAAAAATCTGCCGCCCCAGGCCCGGGCCAAGTTGGCCTAGGCCTAAGTCCGGCACTGGCCACCAGCTAAAAAAAATATATTTCATTTTTTTGCTTACTTAAATAAATTAATTTAAAACAAACGAAATAAAAAAATTGTATGTGCACCTTGTGCGCATGTTTCAAGTGAAACTTCTTACTAACAGCTATTAAATTGAAGGATTTGAAGGACATGTTTCAAAAAATGTAGCTTAAAATGTTGAAAAAGTAATAATCAATTTCGAGCCGCTCAAACGAAATATTTTTTGTCATTTTTAACTGATAGCAGTTGTTTCTCGATATAAGAACACAAATAAATTAATGGGAATCCATTTGTCAGTCAAATATTTATCTACTGGCCATACACCTCGAATCGAATCAATTCATAATTTTGTTGCTTAATTTATTATATCAATTAATAAAGTTATGTGAATATTTCCCCCATTTGACATCATTCATGTAATATTTTCCTTTTTAAATAAACAACTTTAGCCGCTCTTTAAAAACAATATTATGAAAATATTAAAGTCTCTATTTTACAAATGATTGAAAAAAATGGAGTCATATACTTCTGGATAATGACAATCGATAATAACTTTGGCCAGGTCAAGCCCTAACTGCCCTAGACATCATTACTTGACCTGTTCTCTTGTTTATTTTTTAATGTTGACTTTACTGCCAGTTGGCCCTAAAAAGGTTGTAATTTATTTTTATACCGAGTAATTTATTAAAAATTATTTTAAATGGTGTAGTTTAAAATTCGAAAAAAAAATTATTATTTTTTGCAAATTAATTTGTGTGTCTGGAAACGTAAACTGTATACTCTTTTAATTAATAAATATTTAATAAAAGTTTTATGACAATTTTTAGTAAATTACGTCTAGAAATTGACTTTTAAGCTATCTTTAACGCCGTTTTTTTTTATCCAAATGGTATTTCCATGTCTATATTCTAAGTCCATTTCCTTGTGTCCAAATATCCTTGTACACATTGTATAAAAAATTATGTACCTATTAATATAGTCTATAAAATGAATAACTTTGAATTTTGACCGTTATTTTTTACCAACATGACAAATATAAAATCCCTCTGTCAAAAAAGTTACTGATATTCTTTAAGTATTTTTTAAATTAAGTGCCTGAACGAATCAGATAGGTAACTCTTCGTGAAATAGAAAAGGAAAATAATAAAACAAGTGACAGTTCTTCCTCTTCTTGCAAAAATCAACACGAAATGGCATAATTGTCAAAAGTAAAATGTCATCAGCTTTTGGCATTTCTAAATATCAGACCAATGCCGTCTCTAATAGAACAGCCTCGGAGCGAGATTTATGACGTCACGCTAATTAGATATGGATTAATAAATATGTTGTAGAACATAATTATTCCATACATGGAAAACATAATTATTCTTTGTATTTTTGGTTTGTATTTTAAAAATGATATAGTTTACATGAAATATACATAATATACAAATATATATCAAACCTATTTATAGTAATAAATACTTTGGCAAATGAACTATGAACCATACAAATGCAGCAAATGTTTTACAATATACAAATAATGAATAGGTACATAAGATAATGGGTAAAATGTAAAATATATTTTAAATTTTGGGGTTTGAAAATCGATCTAATTTAAAAAGAAGCATTCACAAAATTTATATGTACATATATTTTGCAAGTATCAATGTTCGAAAAATTATATTTGCAAATAATACAATATCATAGAAAAAAATGCGTCAGCGATGGCTATGAAATAAAGATCGCTGTCATTTTATAATGTAAAATTATTCTAAAATTTTTGATTTTCTTGGGATTTAGGTTCGGGAAAAACGCTGATTAAGTTTTCATTTGGTTTTTCATTATTTTTTTTGGTTAAAAAAACGTTTCGGCTAACATTATAGCCTTCATCAATGTTGTGTCATATAAAAAAAATAGTGTCGAATATAATCCAAAAAATTGCATATAAAATATTCACACCACACACCACATAATGTTTACTGCAATTAATAAACTAATATACACTTGTCAAAATATGACCACATATTTTTTAAAATTATTATTCTTAACACTAAAACTATCTACATTGACGATGGAGTACGATTTCAGCCATAGTCAAATATAAGGAATAATTATGTTAACGTGACGTCATAAATCTCGCTCCGAGGCTGTTCTATTAGAGACGGCATTGCGTCAGCATGGCCACAAGTTGCTAACCTAATAAAATTAACACTAGAAAAGCCCGCGGGAACTGTCAAATTCAAAGTTATTCGTTTCACAGACTATATATCCGTAGCAGGTTTCTATTTTTTATATGAATAAATATTAGATGAAATTCCAAGATATATTTATGAATGTTTTTCTGTTTTTTCTTGCTATCTGTCGCTAGTCATTATTCTAATTTTTTGCACATTACAATACATTAACAGTGGTACTATTTACCTTATTAATTCCTCTCATTGTCTCTACCTCTTCCTGTTCCACTTTAAGCTTTGCTTTCCATAAATAATCCGTCCTAGAAGTAAACTCGATCTGCCTATCCAGGATATGGAAAAACACGACGACCATAGCTAACACCAGACCAGTCTTCAGCTCAAATGGCAGTGCAGGAAATCTAGAAAATATTAAAAACTATAGAAAATGACGTCAAAAAATTTTTGTTATATTTACTCGTCATCATGGACGTCAGTGTTGTGGTATATTTGAAAAAAATCCAGGTAACTGTAGATGATGATGTGTGATGAAACAGAGAGGGTCATCAGACAGAGCTTTAGTAGGAAACCCATTCTTAAAAATACAGAGATTGCGGCTAAAACTAGAGCTGAGCTGTAGAGATATGTCTGAAAATTACAAAAAACAACTCTGAAGCTTCGTTGTACAATAGCGTTGTCAAATAACATACATTACAAAATCTTGACATATTGACTTGACAATTTTGACACACTGAAACAATTTACTTTTTAATATTTTAGATAACAACTGTCACTGATAATATGTTTAGAGCTGTTGCTCAGATGCAGGGACTTTTCATCAGGAATAAAACCTATTGAAACTATTGTAAATATTTTTTATATGCATCCATATTTGTTAAATATAGTGTTTTATATAATGTATTCTACAACAAATCTTTCAAATAAAAACTTACAGGAACATATTGGAGTGCTTCTGGAGCGACCTCATGGGCTATATTGTCAGTGACTGTTTCCGAAGCTAGAAGATCTGTCACATTTTCAGTGATATTGGAAAGATCCGATGGAAAAGTGAACACCTTAGTGCTTTCTTCCTCTACTAGGATAACTTCAGGATTAAAATCTACCTGGAAATAAAAATAATAAAATAGTTTCGTATTACTTTAGAGACAATAAAGAGTTTCAAATTTAACGATCATAGCATTAACATGGTGCCCGGTGGCGTAGAGGTACATCTCTCGTCTACCAATTCAAAGGTTGTGGGTTTGAAACCTACAGCCGTCATTTCATCACCCGACTATTTTTATTAACATAAAAATAGTTTGGGTACCTAGGTGGACTCAGCCTTAAATGAGTACTTGGGATTCACAATCCTGAGGTAATAATAGGCTGTTGAAGCGTAATGCTAGCCACATTACCTTTCTTGTATATCGAACGGCTATAGTATGGCAAGCTGTACCTTGCTACTCCCAAGGCGTTAAACTCTATATACGGGAGCTATTATTATAGCATTAACATTGATATCCTTGACCATTGTGCATCTAAGAAAGAGAGAGAGCTTCTTATATTTTCATTTCCATAGTGAATTTGATACTGGGTTTATTTCTTTTAAGTTTAAGCTGTTTTCAACTTTTGAAGGAAAAACGAATTGAAAATCTATCTTTAATGTATTGTAACTACACACTATAGTCTTGATATATTTTCTGATGTTTAAATGGCCTGAGAATCGGACCACTCTATGTAAATACCGATAGAGTCGTCCTTTCTCGTGGTCCGTGCGTAGCGATTCTGTGATAATTTTGAGAATAAGCATTCTACCTACATTAGAATTAACAAAAAGGTCATTAAATTGTATATAACACATGAATACATGGATAGCATTATACTCATTCCTTAATCTTTTTATTCACAGGCTAGAACACTACCCTTCTTCTGTGGTCTTGAGCAAAAAACCTACCGCTACTTAGACAAAGGCCAGCGCTACCCTTTGTGATAACCTCCGACCAAATTAGAATAGAATAAAGTTTTTCCTACAAAAAGGAGACAACGGTAGACAATACCAGGTTTATCACGCGCCGCGCCGGGAAGGTGGACGGCTTATAAAAGCGACCCACGCCATTTTCTCACTCAAACGCAAAAGGGAACCGTAGACCCTTTTGTCCTTCCGTAATTGTTCGGTGTTATGTCGTCGTATCTCGTCTCTAATCAGTCGTGTTTACGGTTTTAATTGTGCCTGCCTGCATTTCATTATTGTGCTCCATTCCAGACAATAAATTGTCGTAATTTCTTGAGTCCTTAGGGATTTTGTTAGCATAGGAATAATGGTTTATGTAATTAATAGACATCTCCAATGAAATAATACTCTGATTAATTTTCAGTATTGAGATGAACCGCCTATTTAAAAATAGACATATTTCTTTAAATTCAAAACATTTAGTTTTAAGACACTCTGTATACATAAAAAAAATTATTGATTTTTAAAATATTATTCGCAAACTAGAGAGAGGGAAATCAGGCGAAGAACAGAGATAATAGTTGTTAAATAATAGATTTTAGACTACCATTCGAGAGGCGATGATGTTATTTTGGTTCTTAAGTTTTGTGACAAAGAATGTTACTAAAAGTAAGTAAATGCTTTCTCATTATTTAACTAATGTTAACTAAATCATATTATTTTGTTTTCTTGTTGTAATTCTGTTCTAAAGCTTTTCTTTATTTATTTGATCTGACAAAGATAATATATAACATGTGTACCTATGTATTTAATGGAATCGATTATGCTGTAAATAATTTCAGTTTAAAAGTAATCTAAATAAAATCATTTACTGTCCATTTGTGTCGATGTTGGTGTATTGTATTGTATTTGATCAAATTTTTTGCATTGACTGCGGCCGCGAGGGCCTATTGTGGCTCAGTTTCTACAAGCTCTTCTTTAACAGAAAAAGAGCTTTAAAGTTCAAGACGCAGCCTTTTAACATATGCCGTTATGTCCGAGGGTGATATGTCTTCTAGGTCTGATAGGTCAAGCGTGTGTTTGCCAAACGCCTCAAACCTGGTACACATAACCTGCTTCATTGTTTCGTCATCTTCCATACTCGGCATTCGGCGTCTTCCACCAGTCCCATACTCTGTAGGTGTAATCTCAGCCGGCAGTGGCCCGTGTATACTGCAGTAAGCGTACGCGCTCCGTTCCTATCAGCCTTTAGGAGTTCATCTGTTCTACGTTTGGATGGCCCTGCTAGGATTGTCTTGACATATTCCATGCCGGGACTGTCATACCAGTCTCGAAACGTCGCACCCTTAACCCATTTACAGAGCCTGTCTCTTGCGAGATTTTTTGGTACGCTAAGTGTCGGTTTTGGGCCCACGAATGGCCAGGCTGCACCAGTTTTGGCGAAGGAATCAGCACATTCATTTCCCTCTAGGCCGACATGTTCCGGTGTCCATATTAGCGACACTTTGTTCCTATCTCCTAATATATTGAGTAGTTTCTTACAAAGTTGCCTCAAGTGCTTTCAACGCGGCTTGACTATCCGAAAATATGCTTATTGTTTTTCCGGCGAATTGCTGTTCTACCAGCGCAGCAGTTGCATACAGGTTTCAATAGCATATAGCTCAGCTTAGAAAATTGTGTTGTGTTTTCCAAGACTGTGGTAGATCTCAGTCTTTGGACTGCTGCAGTAAATTCCAGATCCTTTATCGTTTTTGGATCCGTCCGTGTACCAACACATTTCCGCAAGTAATAAGCCATTTCTCGGCATATCCCATTCGTCCCTATTCGGAAACAGGACGTTGTAGGTGCGCGTCAAGAGTTGAATTGGTGGTGTGAGACCCCAGACCATTCCTAGAATCTCATCCGATTGTAGTTCGTCTACTAGTCAGTTTTGTATGAATATGATTGTTCCTTGGCTCTCTCGTGCCATATTTAGAAACCTATATGTAGCCGATGTTAGTGGTTCAGTGTGAGAATAACGGCCTTGTCGAATGTACTAACACTTTTCGACCGTGCATAGGCGAATATCTTAGCTCGCAAAAGGGCAAACAAAAACAATACCTACATAGAAAAACTCATAGAATAACTTATAATCTAAAGACCAACCTTCCAAACCTTCAACTTTAGCTTCTAGTTCCGCAACCAGAGCATTTTAGTACCAACGGGCGGGGACCCGATAAACTAACAAAAAACTCTTCAGTTTTGAAAGATATAAATGTGGCATGTTTTGATGATATATTGAACTATAAACCTAGGTATAAGGACAGTTTCTATATTATTATTATTTTTCTTTTATTAAAGTTCAGGACAGCATAGTTAGGTTCTCTGTAATAGTGATAGAGGTTTTCTCTGCCGTACTCTTTTACTCGTGAATTCCAGGCAGAGTACAACACTCCATTCATTTAATTTAATAAAATAAGTAGTGCAATTTACAAATTTAGCGTTTCATTTACAGATCTATTCTCCTTAAATTTTCCAAAATATTGCTTCTGTCGAGGCGCATCCGAGGTAATTAAAAAAAAAATATTTTTAACACACCCTAGGATCCTGTATTTCATTTAAATTGTTTGTTATATAGTTGGCCAATATATTACCTCTTCAGCTTTGTTGAACGAACTTGGGTTGTTACACTACAGTATACACTTTTTAAACTTACCAGCGTTATGACAGCACAAGTAGCTATCAAAGTGACGCTGACTAGGAATATGGACAGTCTGAGACAGCGGCTCTCCGCCACTATTTGACCTGGGGGACTGCAAGCACCAGGTTCGTCCTGAGGAGTGTCCGATGGTGGTCTGGGTCCACAACATCCGTCCAACCAACATAGGTACACAAATATTAGGAGTACGACTAGGGTGGGGGAGATGGTACCATACAAAACAATATTCCTAAAAAATAAAAAATACGATAGAGGTATATTGATAATATATTACCGTCTGTCAATGTTTCTAGTGTTATGTACCAAAAATCGATATTTATCTGATTGATACGAATGTTTATATTTCACTTTTGTAGGTATCGTGTTTGTCATTTAGAGTTTAGTTTACATAGTTTACACCAGGGGGATGAGAAATAGAAAAATTGGAAACATTCATTCCTGTCATGTCTGTCATTCTCCTCATGACAAGTATGGCCGCCTAGACATGGACAGCATTGTTTCTGTCTAACTATTGTCTAACTTCACACTTTTAGAATTGACAGATTTGTCTAACTTCACACTTGTCTAACTTCACACACAGATTTGTTCTAGAACAAATCTTTCAGAAATATTCGAGATGATTCGAGGCCATTTTAATTGACTCCGTTTAGTTTCGTTTTGGAAGTTTAATATTTCGGCTGAAATTTATGAATATAAAGGTAATAAAGTATATAAAATATATATTACATGAAGAATCCTGGAGAAAACGACTTTTCTTCAGTAGTAGGTATGTCCCATGTATATGAAAAATATGTAGTAAATAAACACTGTTTCTACATTTTTTAGATGCAAGAAAATGCTGCTATAATCTCTTTGATCGGCGATTTTTATGAAAATGGAAACAATTTACTACAAGGTAAGATCATTTTTAACTATAGCCAACATTAATTATTATTGCAGTGTGTGGTTTATCATCAATAATACAATAAATCTCTAAGACACATATTCTTTGATAAATTTGTTTTTTATACCTATGTATCTTTATTTTAAAATGTAGTATATTGATATTTTTATATTGTTAGTTTTAGATTAAAAAAATATGTTTTTCTGTTTTCAGGTTTTTGTATATGGCTCCCGTTTTCATGTTCTTATGTCCGTTTTCTGTCCTTGAAGTCTCTGAATACGTGTATTTATTTACAAGTTACTGTAAGTCATGCTTATACCTTAATAATTTACATTAAAAGTGCATATAATTAAGTAATTGATATTGAAACAATACAATTTTCTATATATTTATATTTATTTAGTCAGGTTGTTCCATATTTCAAAATAAGAAATAAATATATTTAAATAAATTATAATTTGGTTTTATTTATGATAAGAAAAAATATAAAATACATTTAAACTGAAAGAGGGCCCGCCATGGAATTACCAGAAACGGAAATAAAAATGAAGCCATAAGGTCAACCTGTCAATTGGGAAGTTAGTTCTCCAGACGACCACGAAGGCTTTTGGTGGCGTATCGCGTTTCCACGATTTAACACAGAGTTGACACTTCTTTCTAGTTAATTATTTTATGGATTACACTTGAAAACCGTCAGCGAAGCGTCTGATCAAAACGTGACATAAGTTAACAACAATAAAAAATATATTAAATAACGACAATGGAAGTTCAAAATTGTTTTAGCATCACTAGGCGAGGTCGCACACTGGAGCAATAGGCAATAAGCAGTAAGCAACCATCGACACGCATATTATCACCTATTGAAAACATACTTAATAATCAAATGTTGTCTTGCATACTGAAGCAACGCTATATTGCCTATACGGAGTCGATTCAAAAATATTTCTGTTATAATTATAAAACTAAATAAATAACAATGAACAAAAATATATTCATACCTGGGTATTGTAGATATTTGCATGACGCAAATTGCTAAGAAAATCAGGCAGGCACACGCTATGTAGCATCGAAATTCTGGATCGGGTTGACTGCGGTATTCCCTTTCCTGTTTTCTATTCCTGAACCACAACACAGCAGGGTTTAGATCCTCACTATGCCACCATTTCCTGAAATCAAAGCAAACAGAAAATGCTAGATTTTTTATTTTAACGACCTTTTTTTAATTCAGTCTTCATTTACTCTTACTGTATAAAGGAAATGATTATTTCCATCCATGAGTGCAAACCCATTGGCATTTAACAAAAAAATATTATTTTTATTTCTTTAAGTTTTCTGTTTCAGTGCTAGAGTGAAAATTACAAACCTATATCCCGTAGAGCAATTGCAGAACCATACTTCTTCAACTATGTGTAAGTGTGTTGCTGACATACGGTAAAGAGTACAGATAGGGACGCAATTAAGGAGGGTGGTGTGGATCAACCTTTCAACTACGTTCTTATACCGTTAAACTGTACGTTTCCCTTAAAATTAATGCCTTGTACGAGTTTTCGTTAGCTTTGGAACGTTTTGTTATATATCCTTGATATAGATTTTTTTTTAAAATATACTCGTAAATCAAAAGTTTGTATTTTATACTGGAGAAGGTAAGATATATGGTGAAAATTGTCAAAGCAAAAGAAAAATTATGATTTATTTTTAAGATCGCTACAAAATATTTTTATAAACGTAACCAAGTTACTTTACTTTTGCTTTTGCCTTTTTATCTTACTCTTTGCCTACTATAAATGATAATGATTATTGCTAAGTCAATTTTTCTGATTAATAAAAATAAACTAAAGGCAAATGTATAATAAAAAAATTTACAAAAAAAACTTGAACAGGCGCAATTTTTACATATAAGTAATATCAGTAAATTTCAATAAACATAATTTTTTGGGCTATGATATACATTTTCTACTTGCTCTAAATTCTAAATTTAGAATTTTTAGAAATAGTATTACTGCAGAATGGAAATCAAAATATCTTTTTCAAAATGTCAAGGGACTGAAGCTTTAAGGTTGATTCTCACTATACCTTCCGTTTCCATTCCATATCCGTTCCGTATTTTTTATTGTATTGTATTGGCGATATACGTAAGCTTCCGTTCCGTATCAGTTTCATACTTTTTATTGTACAGCTGGTTCCAAAAAAAATGAATACGACTCTTTACACATTTTTTCGAATATTTGAGCAGTGTATATTTATGTGTCAAGTATTTTAACATGTTAAGGTTATTGTGACATTGAATAGAACTACTTTGCTTTTGACAAAGTGGCAAATAAATTTTTCAGAATGTCAGCATGACATGAGTAGAGAAATGGGGGACTGGTATCATAGAATATACTGCCCGAAATAATAAAAATATGCTTTAAATCGTATTCAATTTTATTGGAACCAGCTGTACAACTTATATCATGACGAAAGTTTTATTTTAAAAATTTGTATCTTTGAAAAAGGTACTAGATTTAATTTAAGAGGTGAAAGAATAAATAAATATCAGGAAAATTTTAACAGAGCTGGTACAAATGTAAGGACTTGACAACGCTGTTTCCGATACGCTTCAGTCCGTCCGGCAAAAAAATGTATGGAAGGATATGAAACGGCTAGTGTGCATTGTCCTATTCATTTACATAATATAATATTTTATGTAAACAGAAGGGAAACGGAAGAGAGCTGATCTGGAAAGTATAGTGAGAATCAACCTTAACGGACACAAATATTTTGTAGTTCTTTGACACAAATTTCTCTGGCCAATAAGACATAATTGTGTTTTAATAAAACAAAATATTATTTTATTAATTTGTAATAATCTATTCATTTGTTTTGGTTAAATATTAAAAATCTAGTAAAATACTGTATGATCGAATAAAAAGGCGTCAAGTTCGTTTGACAATCACTGATATGCTCTGTGTAATCATACATGAGTCGCAGATAATCTGCCGCATATTTTTTCATTTATTGCCTTAAATGTTATTTTTACTTCAATGGTAGAATGCAATTGGGTTTGGAACCTTTGATGTTACAACAGTATAAAAACTACTAATTCACCTCAATACACCAGTAAACATTGTTTACAAAAAGACAAACATTTATAGTCACTGTTAATTGTTAAATTGCTTTTGAGCATTGGTCAATTTTGATATTAAAAAAAATACTAAATAAACAATTTTCTGACCAAATTTTAGAAAACTTTTTTAATTTTACATAGTAAAGAGCAATTTCGGGTAATATGGAATACTTTATATTTCGAAAACAATATGCGCCATTAAAGTTCTAATAGTTAAAATACTATTAGTAAATGAATTACAGATCACATGATTGGAAAAACTCAACCCCCAATATTTCAGTCGTCCATAAAACTGAAAATTACAAATTGACGGTTACCAAAGTTAAATTTTAATAGTCTGGTAATTTTGATAGAAAGAGTTGTTTCTTTGGTCAGGTAAGGCTAAACAAAGTATACTCTATTTGTTTACTATGTATTTAGTTAATACCTAATTATTACCATGTTTAATAATATTCTGTTGTTTCTGAAACACGTATTGCGGGTAATATGGAATATTTCATATTATACGACATGTGAGTATTTCATATCGCCCGACCATAACCATTAAAGGGTAAATAGTTTATAGGATTTTTGGTTTTACAACAGCAAAATAAAACACTAATTTACCAGAATACACCAAAACACATTAGTTTTAACAATGGACGCACGTTTCGCAAACCATTTCAAGGTCATCAGCAGATGATTAAAACTAAACTATTATCTACAATTTGAGCATTTATATAGGCACTATTGGTATTGCCAAAGCGTGACAAAATGAGCCAAGCGAGTCAAAATCTATCTAGTATAAAAAATAATTACCTTCTATTGTCTAAGTTATTCTCTGTCTAAGCTTGCACAAATGCCTAGACGGAAATATTTTTGTGCGATTTCTGTACATAAAACAACTAATAGTAGTAAATTTTGTTTACCGTTCATTTTGTATAATTATTTATCCTATCCCGTATTGCCCGCCATACCTATTCCATATTACCCGCCACTTTTTTTGACTACACAAAAGTTCACATTTCTCTATATTCTTTTGGAACTTAATAAATCTTTCTAGATATCTAATTCTTACAGGATACTCTTTTAAACAATATTACTAGCTATTTATTTCGAATATTTGAGATTAAAAAAAACAATATTATTGAATTTATGTAGAAAAATAAAAATGGTATTCCGATTTTCGAGGTATTTTTCCCTAAATATTATATACCACGTAATTCTCAAAAGTAGCTCACCCTTATAATTTTTTTTATTTTTTAGATAAACAAACGATATTTTGGTATGTTATAGTCTATAAAATGAATAACTTTGAATTTTGACCGTTATTTTTTACCAACATGGCAAATATATAATCCCTCTGTCAAAAAAGTTACTGATATTCTTTAAATTGAGTGCCTGAACGAATCAGATAGGTAACTCTTTTTACTTTCGTGAAATAGAAAAGGAAAATAATAAAACAAGTGACAGTTTTTCCTCTTCTTGCAAAAATCCACACAAAATGTCATAATTGTCAAAAGTAAAATGTGATCAGTTGACATTTCTAAATATCAGACCAATGCCGTCTCTAATAGAACAGCCTCGAAGCGAGATTTATGACGTCACGCTAGTTAGATTTATATGTATATTTTGCAAGTATCAATGTTCGAGAAATTATATTTGCAAATAATGCAATATCATAGAAAAAAAGGCGTCAGCGATAGCAATGAAATAAAGATCGCTGTCATTTTATATGTAAAATTATTCTAAATTTTTTTATTTTCTTGGGATAAATTTTGTGAATGCAAATAATAATACATCACTATTAGTAGATATTGAATGTTTTTTGTTAAATTAGATTGATTTTTAAACCCCAAAATTTAAAATATATTTTACATTTTACCCATTATCTTATGTACCTATTCATTATTTGTATATCGTAAAACATTTGCTGCATTTGTATTGTTCATAGTTTATTTGCCGATGTATTTATTACTATAAATAGGTATATATTGTACTTATTAACTGTATATTATGTATATTTCATGTAAACTATATCGTTTTTAAAATACAAACCAAAAATACGAGGAATAATTATGTTTTCCATGTATTCTACAACATATTTATTAATCCGTAGTATCTAACTAGCGTGACGTCAAAAATCTCGCTCCAAGGCTGTTCTATTGGAAACAGCATCGCGTCAGCATGGCCGCAAGTTGCTAACCTAATAAAATTAACACTAGAAAAGCCCGCGGGAACTGTCAAATTCAAAGTTATTCGTTTCACAGACTATAGTATATGATATATATCAGGATTGATTGACGTGGTCAATTATAGATTTCGGTCGCTTTCTGTTTCACCGAAAATGACTACAACTTTAGATTTTTAAATGACACTACCGGTATTTTTTACTTAATTCGATAGAAAATAAGAGTCTGAATAGAATGACATACCATGTGTCAACTTTTGATATTTTCGCATATGGTTAATTTGCAATTGTAACATGTCGTTCATAACAGCAATTATTTGACTTGAAATACCAAGTGTGTAGTACCAAATTATCCGTAAAAAAATATTTTTCCAAATATGCCAATGAGTCACCCTCGCTCCATGAGAAAAAAATAAGATAAGATTAAAAATACTATTTGGGCACCTTTTAATCGAGCACCTTTAGAAGGACAAGACACAAAAAATATTAGGCGATCAAATCTATTTTTTCAAGGCTCTTTGATTAAAAATTAATGTTGTTAACTCAGCCATGATACTCTAGAAATACGACTTTTTAAGCGAAATTGTTAAAAGTTGACATACGATATATTATTCTATTCAGAGTGTCAATTTCTATCGAATAAAGTAAAAAATACCGATGGTGCCATTTAAAAATCAACAGTTGTCGTAATTTCCGGCAAAACAAGAAGTTACTAAAAGCAATTGAATTCGTCAATCAATCCTAACTTATGTCATATACGAACATACCAAATCTCTTTTTTTTTATTTGAAAAATGTAATAGAAGTGAAGCACTTTTGAGAAACACCCGGTATAGCAACCGATTCTCTTCGTAGAAGAAACAATAACTGATGGTAGTCCGTTTGTTAGCAAAGTATTTTGTCTGAGACGGTTTTATAGAGTCCTTCCTCCAGTATCAGTCATACCAACGTTTTTGGTACAAATGAGTGTCGTCTCGGCGCACTCAGTGATAAAGTGTTATGTTTCGTCATTTTCCCCACAGAATCTGCATTCGCTGTTGTTTTTTAGCTTCAATCTACTGAGGTGTTCATTGAAAAGACGGTATCGTGTTGAAAATCCCGTGACAATCCGAAGATTGAATTTAAATTATTTAAGTTATTTTTTTTATTAAAGAAATTTACCAAATAGAAAACGTATTTCATGTCCTAATAAATTATGCATACTGATGTGTGTACTAATATTTACTGATTTGAATTAACTCAAAAAAAATCAGTAAAAAAGCCATGCCAAAGAGAATATACCCAGCTATTTCAGTAAATTGCTTTAGTGAAAATTTCAAACTTATACCCTTTAAAACAATTACAGAAACGTACTTCAACTGTGTGTAAGTTTGCTGCTGACGTGCGGTAAAGAGTTACGGATACAGATATGCCCGCAATTAAAGGGGGTGGGGCTGGCCAACCTTTCTACTACCTCTTTCTACGGTTACGTTTCCCTTAAAATTATTGCCTTTTACGAGTTTTCGTTGGCTTTGAAATATTTTGTTATATTTCCTTGGTATAGATTTTTTTCTAAAGAAATATACTCGTAAATCAGAAGTTTGTATTTTATACGGGAGATGATAAGATATATGTGTGAAAATTGTCAAAGCGAAATGAAAGAAAAATGATGATTTATTTTCTAAAGATCCGCTAAAAGATAATATTTTTATAAATGGGGCCTATAGTTAGTTAGATACTTTTTACTATCTTACTTTTCGCATAATAAAAATAAAAGTGAACTCATATTTCTTATTTATAAGTAATTTTTTCTAATATAAAATGGAGTAAAGGTGAATATAAAAAGTCAGACACAATTTACGTAAATAATTAATATAAGTAAATATCAATAAACACCACAAGTAAACATAATATAGAAGGCTACGGGACACCTTTTCTAGGTTTTTTGACTACAAAATAAAAATTATATTGTCGTCATCGAATTCTTTTTCGGTTTAGGTTTAAAACCTGGTCCGCCTCACCATCTCTGTATTGGTCGTCCAATACTTCTCCTTCCTGGAGGTTGATATCGTAGCATTTTTTGTGGAATTCTATCATATCTCATTATTTCTACATGATCCTTCCATTTGTTTTTATATACTTCTACTTTTTCTTTTAACGGTTGTATTTTTACTGTCATTTCTTATTCTCTACTTATTTCTTTTATTTTTCGTAAGAATGTCATCTTCAAATCAAATCAAATCAAATCAAAATCTTAAATAAGAAATTATTAAAAATACAAAAACTGCACTGAAACCAAAACTATATCAGATATTTACTTTAGAGAGTCTGTACTTACTTTTCTCTAATTATGGTAATCGTAAATCGTACAGGGTGTTTAAAATTCTACACCACACTTTCTTGATTGAATATTGAATTTAGAGAAGTATTTTTCTCATAAATATTTAATAATTTATGAGAAGTTTAAAATTCTACACCACACTTAGCATTTTCACTTTTTCATTCAACACTCTGTATATTATTATTTTTTATTAGATGGAAAGTTAAAAAACGAATATTTTTTGTATTTAAAGTATTTCAAAAATTTTAATGGTTTCGCAGATACAAGCAGTATTATTTCATATTATGGCGCTTTTAACGGTAAAATACGAGAGAAAAATCATTGGGTGGCTTTGATAAAAAATTACTGTGGAAAATGCCATATGAAATATAAAACGGCGAATATCTACGAAACCGTTAATATTTTTGAACTGAATGAATGCTCTAAATACAAAAAATGTTCATTTTTTAATTCTCCATCTATTGAAAAAATAATATATATGATGTTACATTTAAAAAACAAAGAAAAATTATTTTATATTTTAGAAAGTTTGGCGTAGAATTTTAAACACCCTGTATAATTTACGATTACCATAATTAGAGCAAAGTAAGTACAGACCCTCTAAAGTAAATACCTGATATAGTTTTGGTTTCAGGACAGTTTCTATATTTTTAATAGTAGTGGGAACTATCGAATGAATACTATCGAAACATTCGATAGTTGCAATTCATTCGAATAATTCGATAGCTAGTAAGAAAACATTCGTCGAAAACTATTCGAATAAAAATTATCGAATAGATGCGTCATCTGCCTTGAAATATTGTATTCTAGTCATTCGGCAGCAAAAACCATTCATTTATAAAATTCATTCATTTATCAAATTCATTTATTCGTCAGGATTGATTTTAATAAAATATAAACTGGATTTTAGTTGTCGTCCGGCGACGTAGGTTTCTTACCTAGAAACCCGACAGTGGTCGGTGACAATGCTATGAAAGAAGCCGGCATCTTTGATTTTTTGCGGAGTCAAATAAAGATAAGGACACATTATTTTTTTATTGAGGTGCTAGTATTTACACATAAAATACATTATGAAGGGCGCTGTTGTCATATATTCATATTAGTTGGTATTAGCAAAGAATATTATTCTTTAGCATTAGTTAGGGATAGTATGTCTATATGTTTTGCATTTTTTTATTAATATTCTGTAGTTACACTGCAATAATACTTTTTATTTTGGATGTAGGAAAATGATTTTTAATGTTTTTAAGCAAAAGACTGATTTAATAAATAATAATAACAGTAATAATTTGTTATACCTATTAACAACAAAATTTAAAATCATTTAATAATATAAACATTTTTTTAAGTAGTAGCAAAATATAAACAAATAGAAGTCAAAAGTATTTATATTAGATCCTATTTAAAAATAATATAGTCTCTAAATGGCAACGTTGGTTTATTAAATAATAATAATTACAGAACTAATTTGTTATATTAACAACAAATTTTAAAATCATGAAATATAAACATTTATTAATTTTCTAAGCATGCAGTGTAATGAAAGGAAAATATAAATAAAAAATTAGAAATCAAAATTATTTATATTACTTTTTATTACTTTATATTACTATTTAAAAATAATATTTACTTTTACTGGCATTTACTTTAAAAAATAAATGAAATATTTCTTCGCAAAAAACTACATGTAAGAGAATTAGCATAAACAAAATACAAACATTGTTAACTTTTTTTTAAATTGGCACGTGTAAAACTTTCAATTTAAGTTTCTCACCCCAAAATTTGAGTTCCATAATCATTTACTTAACCACATTACTTAAATATGATTATTAAGTTCAACTAATTCATATTATTAAAACATCTAAAATACAAATATGTATTTTTAAAATTAATTGTAAGTTCATCTCATCTCTCTTAAAAATTGCTACTTCTCAAAATTTCCCATTAAAAAAATGCAATCTAACCTAACCATAATATACCATATAAAATTAAATAATTGAAAGATCGGGCTACGGAAAATCACACAAATTTTCGGAAAAATTTTGACCACTTCGCACACAAGCGGAAATTAAAAAAAAACCTACTGTTTTAGTATTTTAAATATTTTAATAAACGCAAAAATAGCATAGTATTTACAAGGCGAAGTTATAAAAATTTGGAAGAACTAATAATGCACTAACGCACACAAAAATCAAACGAATACTAAATTTCATTTATCAAAAGCATTCGATAGTCGTGGCTCGTGGCGTAACGATAACCATTTAGTCGCACGGCGAGGTTGTCACATATGCTTTAGTATACAAATGAATGAATGATTTTATTCGAATAAAACCATTCGATAGTTAAAATCATTCATTCAGTAACCATTCGATAGTCTAATTCATTCGATAGTTCCCATCGCTAATTTTTAATAATTTTTTTAAAGAAAGGCTGAAAATATAAATTTTTTATTTATGTATTAATATCTCTGAAACTATCGAAATATATTTACTCACATCTTAGGATTATATAAAGTGATCTAAAAAGAAACCAAAAATGCCATAATATACAGGGTGTTCTATTTAAAAAAAAATCCGATCCACTAACACTTTTTTGAGCCACCCTATAGAAGTTAAAATATTTTCCTGAAATACATCCTCGTGCATACTTTAGGTTTGCACTTAAGCAAAACTCTCAAGTTTTTTATTGTAGTGGGCTTTTCCAAGCCCACTCTGACACTATTCATATGATATTTATAAACCAACAAGAAGTAACTAACAAATAGCAAGATATCTGCAGTAGGATTCTGTAAGCTCCGTTGCAAGAAATTTCCTGTCTAGCCTATGCTATTTGTGACTGACGGTCACTATTCTACTAGTCTAGCCTATGCTATTTGTATACGATTGACGGTCACTAGGTTAGTCAGAAAATATGTTTACAGAATCGGGTCCCTGGAATCTAATTAAATGCATGCTTAATAATATTTTTTATAAGTTTGTAAGATTTAAAAATTATTGCTAAATTATTAACGTAATCTAAGTATTTTAAAACCATTAATCTAAACGATATTTTGAGCCCCGCCTAATTATATTTCAAATATTAATCGATTCAGCAACCTTTCATAACAACTTTATTAAAATGCTAATAAAGACCCTGTATAAATCAGATCCCAGGCTCGTTTTTTGCTTTAGAGTAGACAGCGAGAAAAAGAAATTACGAAAAAAATTTATACCGAAGGAAAAGACAATATTTTTTCAAGAGGTAGATGACGGCAGGGAATATTAATGAACTGATAAATTATTGAAAACCGGATTTAGGGAGAAAATTTCTGAAAATTTCCTAAATCAGGATAACTTACTTGCATTCGAGGCACGTCGATCTGTCTGGTAACAGGTTGGATTCGATCATTCCCAGAGTCTGAAAAAAAAAGAAAAAAAAACATACAAGTCTTGAGCCGTTTAATGAATCCATCGGGACGTGACAAAGCGTTAATTAAGATTATTAATGATATATCGTTCATTTACTGCAAAAACTCGTTAAGTCAAAATGTCAGCAGCAAATAAAAATGTTCGTGAGGTTTATTGATGAACTAAATTATTAAACAGCCTTTGCACTATCCCCGAAATATGTTACGAAATATTTCGTAAATCATTTCACAAAACATTTCTGCAAATAGTGCGATAAATATAAGCCCGTGTTATAAAAACTAGTTCCCACGTTTCCTGAATAAGATCGAGACCCGTCGTGATTGGTTGCTTTTTATTGTTAATCTGGGTTGTTAACCTAACAAACCAACTCCAACAGGAAACGTGGGAACTAATTTTTATAACACGGACTTATAGTTATGTTATCATACTATTTCGTGAAATAGCACGGAACAATGAAGGTCAAGCGTTGTGGTGGCTTCAGAAAAATAAGTAAACATGGAAAAAGTGATATGAAAACAGTTAATAGTTAAAATTAATTTTATCATCAGCGTTCTTCAAAGGTTACACAAAAATATTTAGTTTTAATAATTGTCTAATATTATTAATTACAATATAGTAAAAAACATAAAACAGTGACTAACTAGCGGTTTACCATTTATCGGCTTATAATCCACGGTATTGCGCCTCAAGAACAAAATATACACAAAATTATTTAAAAAATCGTCTAATTATTTATTATTTCTGGTTTTGGTAAATTAATATTTATACTATAGTCTGTAGCAAAGTTTAGTTTCCCAAGCGGATAATGTTACCAGTATTACACATCAATCAATATTACTGTTATATTAATCAATTAAGGCCGTAAACAAACATATCATATACAATTTTATACACTAATTCATTATAATAAAATTAAATCATAAAAATATTGTAATTATATTCCTGCAGTTTAACTGAAAAGTTTTGTTTCTAAATATCTACTATACACTATATATACAGGGTGAGCTTCCTACGATGTTCTCTATGGGCATCTCGGAAACTGCTGGAGATAGAGAGTCGGTTAAATAGGGAAAGAATTGCAGTTTTATGAGGTCATAAATATGCGCCTTTCAGATTTTTGAAAAAGTTCATGGCTTACTAGATATTTCGAAAAAAACAAATTTTGGCTATTTTAAAAATTGTCCCTAATTCCATTATAATCTATTTTAGACAAAAAGTGTTCAGATAAAGTTGTAGAAATCACATTCCTAATGAGATTGTGTTCTCCGCTTTTTTCTAAAGCCTGTCATTTTTGACATATGACACAAACATATGTTTTTTTAAATGGAAACCATAGTTGGCCATGACATCACAAATAGCGTCATTTTTTAAGCTTTTCAGCGATATAAGCTATAATATGTTTCTTTCACAAAATTACTGAGTTATAGCCAATTCTTATCTTTCTTGACTAATTTCACTTAGTTAGCCATGGAAACAAGTTCAATCGTCGTTGCCCTCAGAAATGTGAAATTGTCACATCCAATCTTTGTAAATTAAAATAAACAAAAATTTTAAATAGTTTTTTTTAAATGAAGAAAAGCGTGTAGAATTATTTGTTAACTTTTCTTGACCATACAAGATACGTTGACCAGTGAAAGTTATTTACGTTTTTAGAGAACGGTTTCCAATGGTGTTCTAATTTTGTTATGATTTATAACTTATAAAAAGACAAAATATTTTATTAAACGGCTCTTTACAATTTACATTACACAAACTAAAAGTTAAAAAAATTATCAATATATACACTTTAAGTTAATTTAGGAAATGTTCAAAAAATCCGCAATTGTTTTGAGTACATAAATGCATCTTTTTAAAACTGAATTTCTAGCTATTGTCACAGAACGACCGGTCGACTTAATTAAACTTCTCCTGTTTTGCCTCCTCGAGTGCCTCTCATAAGTTCATAAGTCCTTTAGTAAACCTTGTTGTTAACCATACCGTATAAAAAAAATCTAAAATGGATAGGTCAGGTGACCGAGGACGCCGAGGAGACCCATTCAATTGGTCCACCTTTTTCTATCCCTGAGTCTAAATATTATGATAATAAAATAATTTTTAACATTTCTTACAATGTGGGAGAGGGGTTTGGTGTGTCATAATGAAAGTCATGTTGGAACCACTCTATTAATGCGCGAGTATCTAAATTTAAGTTTTCTAACATGTCTTGAAAACCGTTCTCTAAAAAACGTAAGTAACGTTCACCGGTCAACGTATCCTCGAAACTGTATGGCCAAGAAAAGTTGAACCAATAATCCTACACGCTTTTATTCATTTGAAAAACTCGTATTTACAATTTTTGTTTATTTTAATTTACAAAGATTGGATGTGACAATTTCACATTTGTGAGAGCAACGACGATTGAACTTGTTTCCATGGCTAACTAAGTGAAATTAGTCAAGAAAGATAAGAATTGGCTATAACTCAGTAATTTTGTGAAAGAAACATATTATCGCTTATATCGCTGAAAAGCTTAAAAAATGACGCTATTTATGATGTCATGGCCAACTATGGTTTCCATTTAAAAAAACATATGTTTGTGTCATATGTCTAAAAAGACAGGCTTTAGAAAGAATCGGAGAGCACAACCTCATTAGGGATGTGATTATCTACAACTTTTATTTGAAAACTTTTTGTCTAAAATAAATTATAATGGAATTAGGGACAATTTTTAAAATAGCCAAAATTTGTTTTTTTTTCGAAATATCTAGTAAGCCATGAACTTTTTTGAAAATCTGAAAGGTGCATATTTATGACCCTACAAAACTGCAATTCTTTCCCCATTTAACTGACTCTCTATCTCCAGTAGTTTCCGAGATACCTATAGAGAACATCCTAGGAAACTCACCCTGTATAATAAACGCGTGTTCAAATATTAATTCTGTGGAATATATCTCAATATATCATAAAACGAGATGAAATTAACGAAATATCATCGTAACAGCAACTATTTTAGAAACATCTAGGTTTACTTATTTCACTGAGATTTATGAAAAAAAATCCTTTGCCTCGGATACAGATACCGGAGTAATGGAAATAGCTCAAAACAAAACAAAATTGAACGAGGCAACAAAAAACGCCAAAAAAAACACGCCCTCCTCACGAGTAGTTTTCAGGCGCTTTTAAAAATCGAAAGCAGGTCGAGGCAAACCGAAGTGGGTAAAATTAACTACAAATAAATCGAAATGCGTCAAAGTTGGGCGACGAAATGCGACCTTGACATGTTTCGAAGAGTTTTTCGCATAGTGTAGACGCTGTTTTATAGTATTTCTCGATTTTCAGAATTAAAATATGGTTTCATGTTTTTTTGCAATAGTGATATAATGACAATTAATAAATTACTACTGTTTTAATACTTATTTCAACTAAATTCAAAATTCAAAATTCAAAATTCTTTATTCATGTGAATTACCATTAAGGTTTACAATCGTCAATGTTATCAAGCCTTGCAGGATACAAAGTAAAAAGTAAAAAGTAAAATGAGGTAAATATGTTATACATATACAATAAATATAGAACATTACAGTTAAGATTTACACATTAACATTCTCAAAGCACAAACACATTAAAAGATATCATAGCTACAGAAACTGAAAGAAAGATACTCGTCTTACGAGTAGAACGCATTTTCAGTTAAAAATGTCCTCAATTTAATTTTAAAATCCTTATGTTTGATAAATTTTTGAAACATACAGGCAGTTTGTTATAAAATTTGATAGACCAATACCCCGGACCATCCTGACACCTTCTTAGACGCCAGTATTCTGTTACAATGTTATTTTTGTTTCGTGTATTATAGTCATGAACTTCGCTGTGAGTTGTGCATGAGTCTATTTTTGTTCCTTAAGTCTAGTAAGTTGCGATAAATATAAAGAGATGGCAATGTCAGTATTCCCAGAACCCGGAAAGCGGCCCGACAATCCTCTCTGTACCCAAGACCGGCCAGCAGCCTTACGGCCCTTCTCTGTAATCTAAAAACCCTATGGGTTTCAGCTGAGTGACCCCATACTTGAATGGCATATGAAATATGACTATGGATAAAGGCGAAGTAAGCGAGCTTCATTGTGTTTTGGGACACATTGTTAGCTAAATTTCGCAGAAGGAATAGGCCACTGCCCAGTCTCCCACAAACCGCGTCAACGTGCCCGCCCCACTGAAGCCTCGGATCCAGACAAACCCCGAGGAATTTTACTTGTTCCCTGGAAACGTGAGTGTTTCTCATAGAGAATATTACTTGTTTGGTTTTTTCTGTATTTAACACTAATTTGTTCGCATGAAACCAATCACTAGCCCTCGACCGCGCTCTCCCGGAACCCTCCAAAGATTTCTCGAGTGTTTCACCCTTACAAGCAATTGTAGTGTCGTCTGCGAACAACGCAACGATTTTCTTCTGCTAGATTTTTGGCGGCGGATACCTCGATTTTAGCAACTCTTAAGTCAGCCTGGGTTTTTATACAGTCTAATTTTAAACATATCGTTGTTTCACCATGTCGATCACAAAACACTTCATCGATCCTTCCGTCATTTTCCTCCAGAAGTTTGCGTACTGCATTGCCTATAGCACCACAGCCTTCAGGAATCTTCTTGTGCACAATTATGTAAATTAACTTTTCTTTAGTTAGTTTGTTTAAGTCACTTATAGCTTGAGATATCAACTCCGGCGACTCCATTTTTCGACATGTATTGTACTTAACATTAACAGTTTAAAATGTCAAATTAATTGAATATATTGAGTTTCCTGCATAAAATTGAAGCAATAATCAGATAATACAATAATTACAAAATAGTGATAACATTATAGGCAAATTGTAGGTTTAGTAAGATCTACGTTAAAATTAATAATAAAAATACTGCAGTAATTTATCATACAAAAAACAATCCCTTTTAGTCCAGACTAAAAGGATATCAGAGCGGTTTACGACTACGAGTAAAGTTGTTAAAATTGAATGGAAAATTGATGTTTTGTTAAAAGTTTTCCTAAACAACGCTAACGCGAAAGTTAAATTAAATAAGGTCTAAATAGGATCGCGCTAAAAAGACGAAAAAGAGCATAATAGAAAGCTGTAGCCGTTTAATGTTGACCAAAGTTTCGTTGTTATGCGTTCGAGTTGAAAAGCAATCTTTTAGATTAATTAATGGATCTGCTCTAATTAAAACAACACTAATAAATTAGAAAGCTTTATTGGTTAAAAACTTTAAAATTCTAGCAGCAAAAGGTAACTTTTAGGTAACTAAATGCAATTCATACAAAATTAAAAAAAAGCTTTGGTGAAACTTAAAATATTAGCATCTCTCTTTCTCTGTACTGGTCAATCTTAGTGCCTTAGCTTGACACTAGAAACATAAAAAACAATACCGGGTGTTTTTAAAAATGACTCACCCCCATAACTTTTTTGTTTTTTCGGATAAATAAACGAGATTCGGTTATGTTAGTATATGACATAAATGAATTTAAATTTCCCGCTGGGGATACAGGTGGTAGCTCTGCTGTAAAAAATGTGAAGTTGCCACATTTATTTATTTATTTTCTGACATTGATATTCGTTTTGACACTTTAGTTTTGTTTTACGAGTTTTTGGTTTAAATGATTTGTGTTGTGATACTTTAAGATTATTTTTTTTACTAGTATATCTTGCAGTCGAACATTATTCTTTTTAGAATATCTTTTAATGCGAAGTAGTAGAAGATAGATTTATAGCCATTGCAAAAACTCATCGCAACCATATTAAAATATTTTGAACGAGAATGCGATAGTAATGGCCTTTTATGTCCCTTAAGTGCTGTTAAGGAGCTGAGTTTTGTTGATGGTAAGTAATAACTGTTTTTATATTTATAATTCATTTATTTTTGTTTCCCAAAATATTTTGATTAAAAGAAAATATGTAAAAGTGGGCAACGCTGTGCCGGTCAAGCTTAGTCACGTTACTAAAAGTTTAATTGGTATGAACTATATGTTGACAAGCGTGTTGTTCAACATGGTCCCTAATGTGTGACCTGTTTATAATTCACTGATATGTTTCAGTTGCAGCTTTTAAACTGGAGTGCTAGATAGTTTCTTTGCTCAGTGTGTTTGCAACAAAATAATAATTCTAATATTCCTCGAATGTAATAATCTATACCAAGTGATTTTAAAAATATTGTAATTTTTAGTTTATAGTTTCTACACATACACACACTTAGTGCTCTTTTGGAATAGTACAATTAATTACACATTAATGATTCTTTCTGACTGGAAATATTAATTAGTAAATTTTTAATTCCTCGCTTTTCATAACAAAAACTCTTTAAAAAAATGTTCTTTCTACTTTCATCTTTCTTTTCCACAAATTTATCTTATTAGTGTTTAATTAATTGGGTTGTTTTAAATAAATATTTATAAATTCCCTTTTTGTAATCTCTGTAGGGGATATATTTTATATAAAGAAGTAAGAAACGGTTTCCAGAGAAAGAAATTATTCTCCAAACGGCATTTTTTCCCAAAGGCGAAAAAACGCACCCGGATATAATTCAAAATTTAAAACCTTAGAGGTTATAGGTAGCTCGTTATCTAATATAAAAATAAAATAAAACCCAAATACATTTTTAGTTGTCATATTTGGAGTAACAAAAATAAATTGGATACTGTTAGTAACTACAATACATACACCAAAATATTTATAACTTTTGATTTTTTTAGCATATGAACTCACCTTAAAGCTGAGTTTATATGCAACGTAATGCGTCATCCGTCGTTCTGTCACTTCAATCATATTTAAGTATGAGCTGTCATTTTTGAATCAAACTAGAGGGCTATAGTTCGTGAACGAACTAAATGTGAACTATTCCGACCCAGTGAACTATTCCGACCCCGGAATGCAAGGAACTAGTTCCCAGTTTCTTAAGAAACAAATTCCTCAGGACCTATTCCAAAGACCGAGACTGTGACCGACATATAATAATATGCGCCGGCAACGGATCGGTCAGCGCGATCGTAGCTCGATACTAGGCGGGAGTAGGAAGTGTCGGCCGTATGTTATTGGACCCGGACCGAAAGGACGTGAGCAACTAAAGGACTAAATAAAATACTAGTTCACGGACGGATCGGCCAGCGCGATCGTAGATGAGCAAGCAATGTTAGTCGGGAACTAATGTGAACTAAAACCTAGCTCAAAGAACTATTCCTATGGAGGAACTAGAACTAAGGAACTAGTTCGTCACAGAGCACTAGAATTTCCACCTCTAAAATAAACCGATCAAATTGCATAAAATCAACGACGGATGCATGTGAATCTATACAGAATATTGACTTAATACTCATTACTATTTTCTCGTATAGAGATTCCAAGTCCAAATGTAAGTTGGAATATTACTATGATTTTTAATAAAATGATTTTATTTAAACACAAATAAGATTAGCTACAATAAAATACTAAGTATACAGGGTAGTACAAATTGTATTCGGAAAACTTCGGCATATTCTGCAGATAAGTAATAAAGTTCGTATAGATTTATGTCCTAAAATGGCTTCGTTTTGAAGATACAGGGTGTAGAATCTTCATTTTTATTTCGATTTCTTTCCAAATAATTTCTAAACTAAGGTTATTTGGATGAAAATTGTTTAATTTTTGTCAACGATTACATATATTGATTATTTAGATTCCAAATATTTTGATCGTAGCGATTTTTACCGTGAAAGCTTTTGTTTATGTAGAAAACGACGAAAATGTATAAATATATTGACGTTCAGAAATTATTTGGCAAATATCGAAATAAAAAAGAAACTTCTACACTTTGTATCTCCGAAACGAAGCCCCATTTTAGGACACAAATGAGGACGAACTTTTTTACTTATTTTTACTCGAAGAATGCTGCCGAAGTTTCCCCAATACAATTCGGACCACCCTGTATAATAAAAAGAAACAAACAGCCAAATTTAGTGTCTATTAACAAAAAATGTTATTAAAGAATAATCTCACAATTGCAAGTTCATTTAAAAATAAATGAGCATTTTAATCAAGCATTTTATTCAAGAAACGTTAAATAGCTATAGGCTGCAAATTAAAATTAAAAAAGTTATTAATTATGCATAATAAAAATTCTATATGTTAGTTTTATTATGGCAAACAAGTACAAACGATTTTACCCTGAAAACGGACCTGTAGGTATGTTGGAAACTGAAACATAAAAAAGAATAAACTGACAGTTTTCTGTTTTTAATTTGCGCTAATAAAATGGTTTAGTACAGAAAATGGTATGGCTAAATCGTGTCGGTAACTGTAAAATTTTTATTGTCAAAAACGAGAAATTTAAAAGGTTTATGGTGTTTTCTGTGTCGCATATCCAGAGTATTGATGTAAAACAAAAAACACAAAATACTATAAAGGGAAATGTAGTTGTTAGCGATTGTTCATTTATATTGTAGTCTAGAGGAAATCACTTTAGAGTACATATTTCAAGTCATAAAATTCAGTTACAGATAAAGTCCGCATCATATTATAGAACTTTTTTTTATTTAACTAGGGTAAAATTTGACGTCAGCAATGGTTTCCGGTTTAGTTTTGATTAAATTTAAAATTAGCATGTTGCTGTCGGGTATCTGTAAAATTTGACATTTAAAGTAATAAATGTGTAAAACCGATATCTGGCCGAATTTTGAAAAACTTGCTTCGTTTTTAATTTTATACCGGATAGTGATGGGTTGTTATTTAACTATCTGTTATTTTATAACAATTATTTATAAATAACATAACGCAACCGTTACTACTTCTAAAAAATAACAGATATAAAATAACGACACGCAGAGATCGGCCGCTCGTGAAACGAAAAACAAAGTCGGCGCTCTGCACCACCACGAAATTCTATGCTGCTCGAAGCAATTCCAAAAAACAACTAGTATGGATGGAAAACATGTTATTTCGTCAACCATTGATACAGGCGGCGAGACAACGGAGTGGGGAATGCGGTACGGCGAACGTAGCTGCTTCGGTCGATGCCGTCGATGGTCGTACTGGGCTTGCAACAGCTTAAAAATAATAGGATATAAAAGAAGCAGGTTTTTTGAAACAGTTGAAACAGGCGGGCATAACGCCTGGCGGTCGAGATAACAGGAGTGGGAAAGGAACGCTGCTGCATCGGTCGATTGTCGATGGAGGCTCGCAACGGGTTGGAGAAGCAGTCATTTCAGATATGTTGTTTTTCAACCTGTTACGAGCATAACAGGGCGGCGGTCGAGATAATCGGAGTGGGAAAGGAACGCTGCTGCATCGGTCGATTATCGGTGGTGGTTCGAAAAAGAAAGAATGGCCGTCAAAAACCGTTATAATGTTCCAAATGTTCAAATACAATCTCTAAATATACATTTTTATTCATGTAAATTAAATTACTTCGCAAAAATACTTTGTATAAAGCCTGTACTCAATTATATGGTATAAATATACGTAATACAGTGGGCTCTTGAAATGACAGGTACACAATTTATTTTATTAACAAATTAAACACTTGGGATTGAAAATATAAAAACTGTTCCAGAAATATTCGGTCCAATTTAAATTAAACATTTCATATTTTGTAAAACCCATTTCTCGTAAAAATATTGATGTTATTCATGATCATAAATCATTTTAAAAATATTAAAATAAAAAATGTCGATGCTGAAGGCCCTTAACGTCGTCAACATAATTAGTTTTTTTCAGCTCAGTCAATCTTGAAGATTTATTAAGTTTACTCGGTTATCCAATACGCTCTTCATAATAGTTTAGTAACTTCAACTTTAACTTGTTTAACAATAACAATTTAAAAAATTTAGATTTTATCTGGACAAAAAACTGTTAAACAAATAACAATTTATTTAAAAATTGATAGCAAAGTATGATCTTAAGTACTAATTTTGGATTTCAATTTTCAATTGTTTTTCTGGAATATTGTAATGCCATTTTCAACTGGCGAATCTCTGATCATTTTCAAGCTCAAACTAATATTATTTTCTTAAGCTACTGTCTTAAATATTAGGGTACACTAATGTACACTGGAGCGTATTTTATCATTGTTTCGTGATAAAATGGTAAATCCCTATTTCAGCTCGAACTGATTTTAATACACAATTCACATCAAACACTTTATTTTAAAATTATGGACGTACGTTTTGGTAAGCTTGATCAGCTTTATTAGGATCCAGTCTAAATTTGCGAAACTAAGCATTTTAGGACATACCTTTATACGAACTTTTTTACTTATTTCTATCTGCAGAATATGCCGCCGAAGTTTCCGGAATACAGTTCGGACCACCCTGTATATGCAGAATGAGTTTCGTACGATGTTCTCTATGGGTATCTCGGAAACTACTGGAGATTGAGAGTCGGTTAAATGGGGAAAGAATTGCAGTTTTGTGGGGTCATAAATATGCGCCTTTCAAATTTTTGAAAAAGTTCATGGCTTACTAGATATTTCGAAAAAAACAAATTTCGGCTATTTTGAAAATTGCCCCTAATTCCATTATAATCTATTTTAAACAAAAAAATTTCAGATAAAAGTTATAGATAATCACATCCTTAATAATCACCTGTCCTCGGTTTTTTTCTAAAGCCTGTCATTTTTGACATATGACACAAACATGTTTTTTTAAATGGAAACCATAGTTGGCCATGACTTCATAAAAAGCGCCAATTTTTAAGCTTTTCAGCGATATAAGCTATAATATGTTTTCTTCGTAAAACTACTGAGTTATAACCAATTCTTATCATTTTTAAACAATTCCACTTAGCCATGGAAACAAGTTCAATCGCCGTTGCTCTCCTAAATGTGAAGCTGTCACATCCAAACTTATTAAATTAAAATAAACAAAAATTGTAAATATGAATTTTTCAAATGAAGAAAAGCGTGTAGATACTCGCGCATCAATAGAGTGGTTCCAACATGATTTTCATTATGATCCCCCCCACCCCCCCCCATAATGAAAGAAATGTTAAACATTATTTATATCATAATTATGTAGACTCATGTAGACTCAGTGATAGAAAGAGCTGGACCAATTGCATGGGCCTTCCTCGATCAACTGGCCTATCCATTTTAGATTTTTTATGCGATATGGTTAACAAGAAGGTTTACAAAAAACCTTATGAATTAAGAGAGGCACTCGAAGTGGCGGTACGAGAAAAGTTTAATTAAGTCGACTGGTCCTTCTGTGAGAATAGGTAGTAATTCAGTCTTTAAAAGATGCAACTCAAAATAATGGCGGATTTTTTGAACATTTTCTAAAATAACTTAAAGTGTATGTAGTGATATTATTTTTTTAAGATTTAGTTTGTGTAATGTAAATTGTAATTTTTGTAATGTTGAACCGTTTAATAAGATATTCCGACTTTTTATAAGCTATAAATCATAACAGAATAAGACTACCATGCAATCTAAGTGAAATTAGTCAAGAAAGATAAGAATTGGCTATAACTAAATTGAACTTTTCTAACATGTCTTGAAAATCGTTCTCTAAAAAACGTAACATTCACCGGTCAACGTATCCTCGAAAATGTATGGCCAAGGAAAATTGAACCAATAATCCTACACGCTTTTCTTCATTTGAAAAATTCATATTTACAATTTTTGTTTACTTTGGATATAACAGCTTCACATTTCTGAGAGCAAAGACGATTAAACTTGTTTCCATGGCTAACTAAGTGAAATTGTTTAAAAATTATAAGAATTGGCTATTACTCAGTAATTTTTTGAAGAAAACATATTATAGCTTATATCGCCGAACAGCTTAAAAAATGGCGCTTTTTATGAAGGCTTGGCCAACTATGGTTTGCATTTAAAAAAACATATGTTTGTGTCATATGTCAAAAATGACAGGCTTTAGAGAAAACCGGAGGACACAATCTTATTAAGGATGTGATTATCTACAATTTTTATCTGAAAACTTTTTGTCTAAAATATCTTATAATGGAATTAGGGACAATTTTTAAAATAGCCGAAATTTGTTTTTTTCGAAATATCTAGTAAGCCATGAACTTTTTCAAAAATCTGAAAGGCGCATATTTATGATCCCACAAAACTGCAATTCTTTCCCTATTTAACCGACTCTCTATCTCCAGTAGTTTCCGAGATATCCATAGAGAACATCGTAGAAAACTCACCCTGTATAATTATTTACATTCAGTTGCACACACACACACACACATAATCACTACATTCAGTAATAATAACCTGAATAAGTATTAAGTTCTGAATAATAATAGCTGAACTATTTTAATAATTCACATGAAACAATTTTTAGCCGATCATACCGACAGGTATGGTAGGCTATTAAGATCGGCAAAAAGATTTTTTTTTTAATTTCACTTAAAATGAGTTATTTGGGTCATAAATGACCTAAATATAAAATATTTTCATGGTGTCTGTCTGTCCGTCTGTAACACGATAACTCAAAAACCGCTAAACCGATTTTAACCAAATTTGGCACAAAAATACTGTGGCACCCGAGAATCTGGCTACTAGTTTTTGGTGGGGGTGGGGGGTTGGTAAGGGGGTATGGGAGGGGATTAAAAATTTAAAAAAATCGTAACTCCAAAATTACAGTAGCTAGCGAAACGCTGTTTTCAATTTAAGATTAGGAATAATATTTGCAACAAAATTTGTAATAACATCAAAATCAGTCAAAGTCACAGTTTTTGAGATAAAAAAAATATCAAGTATGGGCGGCTATACGTACCTCCCGGCCCCAATTTTTTATTATTTTAGATCGCGTAACAAAAGCATATTTATACTAAAATTTATATAAGCCATCGGTAATATGAAATTTAAAAGTGTACAATGCCAATGTCGGGTATAAATGAAAAAATAAGCCCCATCAGAGGAGTGTTTTAGAATAAGGGTTGTGCATTAGGTTGAAAAGTAGCAGTAAAAACTTACGGTCAGTTCAATGTTCTTTGCTAGAGTGGATTCGGCGATGTTGGCGAAAGGTTTATCCGCGCCCCAGCACTCGACGTACTTCGTCATTTTGCTGGAAGGTCTAGCTCGGGTAGGAGGTCCCCCAGGTGTAGCTATTCCTGGAAAATCGAAGAAGATCGTGAATATTTATTTTCCGCGAAATATATGTAAATTTTTGGATCTAAATATTTAATAATCTTAAATACATAATGAAAATGAGAATACCTGGACAGAAGAGTTTGTTATATTGTAAATTTATACAGGGTGAGTCTTAAATAAGTGCAATTATTTTAGGGGTAATATATTTCGACCCCCTGAAACACGATTATGAGATTTTTTCCCGAAAAAAAAAATTAAAAAAAAATGGAATATTTTGAAAAAAAAATTGAAATTTTTTTAGTTTTTAGTTAAAAAACATAATTTCTTGATAATATGGCAACATAAGTAGTAGATTAAATTTACATAAAAGAAAACCTAGAAAAGATCCAAAAATTTAAGGAAAGAATAATGTTTTTTGGAAATTTTCAAAGTGAGATAACTCTGTTATTTTGGACTATTTTGGATCTGAAAAACGGTAACGAGAAAATATGTTTCTTTTATCTATCAGCCTTGAAAATATTTGTACTTATTTAAGACTCGCTCTGTATACAGAGTGGTCCAAACTGTATTCCGGAAACTTCGGCAGCATATTCTGCAGATAAGAATAAATAAAATAGTTCGTATAAATGTATGTCCTAAAATGCTTAATTTTGGAGATACAGGGTGTAGAAGTTTCATTTTTATTACGATTTTTTCTAAATAATTTCTGAAGCAAAGTCAATATTTGGATGGAAATTGGTGTCTGGGAGTTTTTTGACATGACAAATTTGATTTTGATGTCAATATGACTCATAATTGTAGGGGGTGCCACCTACATGTGTTTTAACTGTTTTGAAGTGTAATAACTTTTTGTCCGTACTTGTATCAAACTACTGAGTGAAAAAATATACATTTGCAGGAGTTTTTACGTAAAAAATGTCTCTTGGTAAAAATTGTTATGAGCAGCCCTTCTCAAGATATTTAGAATGGAAATAGTCAATACATGTCATTATTGACAAAAAAATTAACATGAGTAGAGATAGTTATTTGACTGAAATTATAAATTTGGGAACTTTTTATTTTTTTAAATTAATCATAAATTTTTCTTCAAAAAAATGATGGTAAAACAGTTTCTGTTAAACTTTTGGCACAAAAACATTTAAAATTTAAGATTTCAGTCTAGTAACATGTTTAATTTATGTCAATGATGACAGATATTGATAGTTTCGATTTCAAATATCTTGACAACCATTATAACCAAGAGACCTTTTTTTATGTAAAAAACGTCGTAAATGTATATTTTTTACTCAGTAGTTTTATACAGTTACGGACGAAAAGTTATTACTCTTCAAAACAGTTAAAACACATGTATGTGGCGCCGCCTACAAATAGGAGTCATATTGACACCAAAATCAAATTTCTCATGTCAAAAAACTCCAAGACACCAATTTTCATCCAAATATTGATGTTACTTCAAAGTTACTCGGAAAAAATCGAATTAAAAATGAAAGTTCTACACCCTGTATCTCCGAAACTAAGCATTTTAGGACAAACATTTAGACGAACTTTTTTATTTATTTTTATGTGCAGAATATGCTGCCGAAGTTTCCGGAATACAGTTCGGACCACCCTGTATACGTAGCGCCAAAAACGATGACAATTTATTTTTATACAAATATTGCGATTATCACGGGTAATATAGCTTTATATTTTCTATCATACCTTTGTTATTTTATATTAATTTTATATTTTCTTTTACTTCATATGTCCTACATTTTCACTTAACAGTAATTGAAATATTTAATATTGACTCCTTTCATACATTTGTAAAGGAAGTCAGGTAGGAACTTCTTCAAAGGATTCAGTTCTGTATTTCGTTAATAATAATCAAAATAATACCAGTGAGAATATAATGCAAAAAACATTAAAATATGAATTATATGTATTGCTCCATCCGTGTATGTCAGACACTAACTTGACAGAAAATTGATTTTAACAGCAGAAATACCACGACATTTAACATTTAATAAAAAAGTCTGAATATTTTTTCATATCATCAATATTCTCCAAGATCGAAATATTTCAGTAAAATGTCTGTTCCTAAAAGATATTGATAGGATTTAAATAACAACTCATACATACAGCTTACTGTTTTATATAAAGAATCATTTACTTCTGACATTCCTGGTCCAACAATCATAGGATTAAAATATGTAATAACATTATGTCCAACATTAATGCATTTGATGCATATATATTTAAGTTTAGTATTCAGTAATATACGAGCCTTAAAAATATCGTCGGCGATTTATGATGAGATTAAGGTATTAAGTTTTATCGGCCATTGGGATAATCATAAATTTAACGTACCTTGAATAGAACCATCTCCTAAACTGTTGTTTCTATCTCCGTTACTGCAATTAGTTTTAGCATTTCCGTTTTGAAGCTCCGTATCATTTTTCTGTAAATAAAAAATAGTCTTAAAAATATTATAATTTGAATAATAATTTGGGAATAATCATAACATACTAAATATGATATCAAATAATTTGAAAAAATAATATTTAAAAAAATTGGCTATTCAAATCATAGATATGGCAGGGAATAGTTGTACTAGTTCTTTAAATCAGAAAAAAACTCTACAGACTATTTGACAGCTATAACTCGTTATAACTCAAGGAAGGGGGACACACAATAGATTTGTAAGGTCGCGGTGATTACTGACTAGTACAGAGGATCCTATATCTACGCGGAGCAAAGGGCTTCAGTGAAAGCTCTACACCGCGTTCTATTTTTGGCAGTTGTTTTTGTTTCCTCACATGTTGACCCTATTTGTTGAAGCTCATCCATTCCAACTGGATGAGCAGGTCGTCTGTGCTTTCTTTTTCCTTGGGGATTCCACTGTAACGCCGATCTCGCTATATTACCATCAGGTTTCCGCAAGATGTAACCTATCCAACCCTATTTTCTTTTGCGAATTTCAATGCTTCCTTCTTGTTGGTTTGTAAGATGAAGCAGGTCGGTATTGCGTATAATATCTGGCTAAAAGATTTTTACTATTTTTCCCAAGCAGCGATTGAAACAGTTGTGGGCGGTTGATAGATATTTTTGTCACTCTCCATGTCTCTCATCCATATAGTAAAACTGGTATGACTTTGGAATTGAATATTCTTAATTTTGATTGTATGAGAATTGATGGGAGGTCCAAACTGATTTTAGTTGGCCAAAGGCTTACTGCGCCTTCGTGATCCTGCTGACAATATCCGCGTCTGCGCCTCCGTTTGCTGTTACAATACTTCCTAGGTAAGTGTTGTTACATTCTCGACAGAGTGTTGTTATTTGTGTTGATACGCATTGATTTTGTTTTGTCGATGTTTATGCTTAATCCTACTTTGTCGGCTTTCTGTTTTTAGGCGTCTGAGCCCCGGATCTAAGGGGGGGGCAAACCGGGGCACCTGTCCCGGGCGCCTGTGTCAGGGGGCGCCAAAATCATAATATAGTATGGTTGAAAATCAAAAAAATTGCTCCACTAAGCGCCTAGTATGCACCTTACGTTCTTCTATCAAGTATTCATTTTATTTTAAAACGCCCAGTTAGTTTTTGAACACAATTTAAAGTTTCATTCAGAATCTCGCAATTAGTGGAATAAATTAGCAGTTTCAGTTATTACACTTTTTACTTTTTAGTTTACGATCATTCACAATGTTTAAAAAACATAATCAAAATTAATAGAATATCCTAGCAACAGCTTGCGGTAGTCAGTTGTATCCATAAAGAGAGCCATATATTTAGCTTATAAAACAATAAACTTTTGATTTCTAACCACGATTTCTCTTGACGGATGCTAATCAATGGCCAAAATGACATTTCCCGTAAAATTTGAAGTATAATTAGTGGAAAAGTCAAAAGTTTGTTAACTATTTCCACTAATTGAAAATGACTACCACTAATTTAAACGTTCTGAATTTTAATTCTTACACTGAAATTAAAGGAACAAACTTCTACGCTAATTGAAACCACTAATTTATTCCACTAATTCGAAGGTTCTTCTGAAAATTCTGAATGAAGCTTAAGGGCTCATTCTGTCCCGTTTACGAAAAATGCCTACCTATATCTAGATATTTGTAAGTTTTTAAATTAATTTATTGCAATCGCTGGAGAGAGGGGGCGCTACTATAATTTTATGCCCCGGTTCAAAAAAATTGTAGATCCGGGGCTGCTTCCATGTCTTTGAAGGATTGCGTTGTGAGACAGATCATCAGCATAATCAAGATCCGTCAGATGCGATGTCAGAGTCCATTGTACTTCCTTAATATTTGCTGTGGATTTAGTCAAAACGCTATAGAGCACTATTTTAAATAGAAGCGACGATAATGTGCTTTACTCCTGTTACTAAGTTAAAACTGTCGCTGGTTCTACCATTGTGCAGCACATTGCATTCTGCGTTTCTGGAGCGGTAAACATTCTACATCATAAAAATCAAATAAAGAATCTCATATCAATCAGTAATACGATTTTCATCTGTAATATTTTTATTTGAATAAATCGCAAAAATTAGGGATTATTTATATCCAATCGAGAAGCTCTTCACAAGCCGTACTTGAGACTTGAATAAACCTAATAAACTGTCCTCCGGATCGTATTCCCGTAAATTTGTTTTTCGAAATCTCGCTCCTGTCGATAAAAATACAATAACGTTATTAAGGACCGTCTAAATAATTCCTTAGGGATATCTGGGGGAATTCTTGGCCCTTTTTTCTTCACTTTTTTTATACTCGTTTAGAGATAGGATGGAAAACGTTCCGAAGGTTTGAATAAAGATAAATGCGAAGAAAATTGGATTAAAAAAGGATATTTTATTCAGAGATATAGGACAGTGGTTTGAAATGGGTTGGATTCGAGACACTCATTGGCTATAATATCAGTCCTCAATTTATTGGAAAATAACACAAATAAGTGTGCTAATAACTGCTCTAAGTACCACCCTCAAGTTTATATATTTCCTCCTTGGATATGAGCTCAAAGTATTGACCTCATATCCAAGAAAGCAACAGAAAAAGAGAGATATACTCGTACTCTCTATTATACATAGTGTTTTAAAAAACATGGACCATCTTTCGTGGGAGATTCTTTACGTAAAAATAATATTTATTGATATTTCATATCAACATAGGCCCGAGTCTGCTTTGTTTCGTAACTACAGGGTGTTAAAATCTTAATAATCTTTCGATTTATTATAATTTTCTTCCAAGTACTTTTAGTGATTCGAATTAAATTTTGAGAATAAAATTTACTATAAGTACTACATATTTTAATGCTAAAAAAGTGTCGATAAATTCAACAGGGACGTGCGTATGGGTTATAACTGGAATATTTTTTAAAAAAAAACATGTTGTGCGCCACTGACTTTTTTCTTTTGATATCAAAATTGCGTAGGCCGTTTAATGCCAATTAAAAGTTGTCTTTTGATATTTTGTCTAATTCGGCCTCCTTGATGAGATAAACGCAATTTTATGAATCACAATTAACAATATTAAATTGAAAATAAAATCAATAAATTATATGTTTTACCTAATTTATTATTAAATATTATTACTATTGTTTTTTACTATTAGTCCAACCTACAGCAGTTTCAAATAAAAAAATAATGGGTTTTAAGACAATTACAACAAGCATAATTTTAAAAAGTTTTAACATCCCGTAAATCTAAAACTATGCATTTCCATACCTATGTTTATAGGAACTTTTTTTCATATTTTTTTTATGAGAAATCAAAGAGTACTTATTTCAAATTTTCGTAAGTTAATGCAATTAAAAGTTTTTAAAGAATGCTGTTAGACTTGGATAAAGGTAAATTAATATAATTGCGTTTATCTCATCAAGGAGTCCGAAAGTCACAAAACATCAAGAGAAAAAATCGTCATTAAACTGCTTACATTATTTCGCTAACAGGAGAATAAAAAACAGTGGCGTACATGCTTTTTTAGAAAAATATTTCAGTGATAACCCATATTCACCTCCCTGGTGAATATTCCGACACTTTTTCAGCTTTAAAAAATTGTATATGCAATAATTTTGGACATAGGTATGTATATTTATAGTAAGGGCTAAATAAAGCAAATTTGTATTTATACATGAAGTAATCTTAGAGAAAACAAATATCCTTTTTTTCTTTAATTTCAAGGTAATCCCGACAAGCATACTCCTGTAAAGAGTCCGCATCCTCCCGTGACTGGTACATAGATGGCAGACTAAATTATATGTAGATTAGACTATTTTATATTCCGTATTCAATGATGCGATAAATTAGGAAATATCTCCCGCGTCGATAAGGATTTTCGCCTCTTCTTCTGTGACTCTTCTTTGGAAAAATCGCACGAAAATACGTATACGTAACTCGAGTCAATTTCCATGCCCGACACGGCGCGGCGGCGAAATAAACCGCATGTTAGAAATACATGCCGAATGTCGGATACATTTTGCTGTCTGTCCCGTTTAACATAAATTTTCTTCCGCTCGAGAAAAGTGAGAAAATTTCATAATAAATATTTATTTATTTTTTTTCCGGTCTCTGACGTTATATGTGAAGTATTAAATCCTACAGGTGTCCATATACAGAGTCAGAAATAACAATGGGCAACAGCCAAAATTTATCTTAAGAGTCCATTTCACTAGTCCGAAAAAGTAGCAAAATAAGCGTTCGGCATTTAACGTTTTATGTAAAACTGGCTAGGTATTTTTAAACAAATGAGGGAGGAAATTAAAGATAAAGGATTATACTATATCCGTATTGAAGCATATTATTATGACTTCTCTATTTTTAAGATTTTGATTGTCCAACATTAACAAAATATTCCTTATGTTTGGACTAAATTTTCTCGAAAATAAAGACATAATTAAAATTCCGTTACAATACGGAAATAGACTGAAGTTTTATGATTACAGTAATAGATAATTTATATGGTTTTGTAATTTTATGACAAATGCTGAAGCTCTGCAAACCTTAATCAAGCCTTAATCAAAGCACGTGTGTTTGGAATTTTAGATGTGGCTTAACACGACAGGATCGGGCTAAACCTTAGGCAGATTTCTGAAATATAATATAGACACTCTGTAAACATAAATAAATTTATTGATTTGTAAAATATTATTAGTAAACTAGGGAGAGGGAAATCAGACAACGAATAGAGATGATAGGTGTTAAATAACAGCTTTTAGGCTACGATTCGAGACGCATGGATGTTAATTTTGGTTTTTAAATTTTGGTTATTGTGACAAAAAAGGTTATTAAAGGTAAAGTAAATCCTCATTATTTAACTAATGTTAACTAAAGCATATATTTTGTTTTTCTGTTGTAACATTCTGTGCTCAAGCTTTTCCTTATTTATTTGATCTGACAAAGGTGTTATACAGGGTGGTCCGAATTGGATTCCGGAAACTTCGACAGCATATTCTGCAGAT